CTGCGACGTCGGCTGCTTGTTTGTTTCCCTTGAGTTGGTCTGTGGGCGGGGGGGAAGCCGAGGTCAGCGGGGAGGGGAGATTCTCTCGGAAATTTCCATCATCACGCCCTTCTTCGTCTTGTAAGACGGCCGGACGGGCAGACGGGCAGACGGGGGGGGACATTTGTCAAAACTCACCATCAACAAAGTCTTGTCCGGCCTTCATGCCCTGTGCCTGCATTTTTTTCTTTTCGGCTTCCGCCTTGGCCTTGAACATCATGATTCTGTTTTTTCGCGCGCGACAAGTGTCAGCATGAGCCAGAGACATTGGGTTACAGCTGCCCGTCACGATTCGGGACTCGGGAGGGGGCCACTCACCCGACTTGCTCGATGATGGGGTCGAGCATGCCTTGCTGATAGGCGAAGAAGCCTCCGACGAAGACGGCCAGGATGATGGCCAGTGAGATGATGAGGGAGTTGGTGGTTGAGGTCTCCATGGTGTTTTTTTTCTTTCTTGTGGTGGCGGTAAGTGCGTGTGAGTATAAGGGACGCGGGACTGCAGTATCGCGCGCAAGCCGTTTATTGAATGTTTTACAAGCGTATAGATGGTTTTCTTGCTGATTTCCTCACATCTTTCTCACTGCCCTTCGACAGTCATTTATATACATCTTTGCTCTTTTGACATTTCAAACCAAAAAAAACTTGATCTGGCGCGTAGCTTATTCTCTCACATGCAGGTTGCGTGTGTAACGCCTCCTCGCGATTGAGAGATCGGCAATGACGTCTCCCCATCCCCATTTTCATGCCGGCCTGCCTTGCGTGGGGTTGTTGCTACGCCGCTCTCCGCGCATGGAGGGGCAGCGCAGGAAGATCAGGGTCTCTGAGAAACCAAGATTTGGAAAGGGTCGCACAACGCGTCAGAGGGGCCGGCAAACGGCAGGAGGAAAACATCATTGTTTTCCAAAAAAAGACTTGGTAAATTTGGTAATGGACGATGGAAAGATGGACACTCATTTTCTATGAGGGGGCCATGTCGTCGTTTTTTTTTTTTTTACCTCTTACTCTCCGTTACGGAGGTTTCTCATGCAGGTAGTCGGCCAGCCATTCAGATTGGACGAGATTATCTGGTAAGTAACGGTCGCTGATCGACTATTTCTCAACGGGAGCCCAGACCGCCTTCCCCGCGAACTTTTGCTAGATTACCTCTCCGGACATATTAGACAGAGAGCTCTTTTGTGGTCCGAGGTCGTGCGACGGGTTTGTTATCCGCCATTATGACTTCAACGCTGAGGGGGGCCATATGTTTTTGTCGTACGAGTAGGCTCAGCTCGCGAAGATGAACAGCAAGGGCCGAGGGGTTTTCTGAGCTGGACCCTGGTAGGGCGAGGTTGGTAACGATCTCATTGTGCATGAGATTTGAGGTTTATACCACCGTTACTATAGGATGTTCCTGGCGTTGAATGTTACCTTTACCAGCCTTGTTCAGGCTTATGGCAGGGCCGGTGTCGTTCCATGAGCTCGGCAGTTGCCAATGTGTTGAAATGTCATCTTGTAGGGGTAAAAGCGGTTGCAGGGGCTTCGTCCTATAAGTGCTAGGTCGTTTTCTATATCAATCAAACCAATGCTGCCTCTGCGCCGTCGCAGTGGCCAAGTTTGGTCATTTGCTCAATGCACTCCCCTTTGCCCCGAGCTTGTATTGGAATGAGATCAGACGCTTCTGAGAGTTGAGAGCTGCTCGTCGATAGCTCTGATGGCATATTTCCGAGTGCTGTAGCCTTTCGAGGTTAGGCTTCCACGACCCCGTTTCGATGGGAATATTGCGAAAGGGTTCATTCTACTTTAGGATGGGTTTTCTCTTTTCGACGTCAATAGAGCCGGCGGGTTTCGGTACTGGCCACGTGCGTATCGTGATGTGTATCTTCTAGACCTTGTTTCTGTGATTTTGCCGTCTCTCATGGACTGCAACATGGACTACGTATCATTCGTATACTATGCAACATCGAAGTCATATGCTCGCAAAGTCAGGGTCCGGAAGACGTTCTGTTCAAGCCATGATTCGAAGATTGATGACTGGTTTATTGTGAACATGAGGTGTCTCTCTTCCTCAGCCCCTTCTTCTGCAAATCATCTCGCCGCTTGCAAAAGTCTTTGGTTCTCTCCTCGATTGCAAGAGATTGATGGGATTTCTGGCAGACTTGCTACGTCGGGAGAGGCATCATTCGGAATTCTGAAGCTGAATGACGATGAATTCGCCTCTTGGCTGGAAATCAACGCCTGAGTTCCACATGGTCTTTATTTGTGGTGTTTTGGTATATCATAGCCTAGACTTTGGTCAAAACAAGTCCAAGTACGATGAGTACTCGATACGTCCGCTCAATCACTGTCTAAGGGACAGAGTTGAGAGATATTTGACATCCCTGATGCATCTACTTGCCAATCACTAGCTTTTGTTTGGACGTAGGGGTATAGATGACATTTAGCATCGTGGAGTCCAAATGTACAAACTTACACTTTCAATGAAGCTTGGGATAACCTTGGAAGCAGAGGTTGGGAAGAATAAGTCACGAATTTTACCGCAAGACCTGACTCATTGAAGGTATACTTTTTTCATAGAGGACAGCCGCAGCAGATATTGTACCTGGTCATCCGAGGGACAGCTCATGAGGTTTAATCCAGCTTACAGACCGCTCTATGGGTATGAGAACGAGGGGCGAAGATCCTGTCATAGGGCTTGGAGTCTTCTGTACCACCTCAGACGAAAGCCAGAAGTCGAAAGTCTAGTCTAGCTTCTCACTCGTGATGATTCCGATTCCACTGTCCAAGTCACAAAGACTCAACGCGAATCCGTCAGGGCTCGTCCTCATCAGTCTGTACTTCCTCTTCTTAGTTATTGGGGTTGTCATGTGATGTAATGTTGGAGAACAATCGATTTTTCAGTCAGCAGTCTTAATAATCAGAAAACCCGTCTCTCTGCCTTACAGAGCATGGATTGTTATCATTCCGTTTGGTATTTACATCCCGCTCTTAAGACCTGCTATTACATCGGTTATTTTTATAGCCAACTCGTCCTATATTCATAGGTTAATATGAGGCGCTCTGTTGATAATTAATTGGCGCATGATACTATCAGCTAACAAGGCAGATATCCGCCGTCTGCAGCTCCTTCGCAACCAACATTGCCCCTCGGGTGTTGGAGACTCACACAGGATGAAGCTGCGAGCTACCTTCTGCATATTGTCTCCTTCAAAACGAAAGTCACTCGATGGCCTCCATGTCCACCATGAAATTCGGAGTCATGACCCTGGAATGCTTCGCCTAAGAACTAGGAACCTCCTTTTTGGCCGTGACCTCGATCTCGATCTTCATCACGTCCTCCATCAACGCCGCCTGGATCATGGTTGCCGCGGGGCGGACCTCGCCAAAGTACTTTTGGAGCACTGGCCAGGTCTTTTGAAAGTCGTTGCGGTCAGGGAGAATGTATCGGACGCGTACCACGTCCTTGATCTCGGCGCCAGCCTCGGCGAGGGCGGCGGCAATGTTCTCCATCGTCTGCTCCGTCTGCTCGACGACGTTGGGGGATATGGCGCCTGTTGCGTAGTTGTAGCTGTGCAACCGCGAAGGTTAGTAAACAGGTTCATGCGTACATGAGCGTGTCACAGTCATTGAACCAGCAGAAGTTGAGTGGAAGGGGGAGACACGGACCCTGTTGTTCCAGACACGAAGATGAGATCGCCCGAAATCACCGCACGGGAGTAGCCGATTTGTGCCTCAAAGGCAGAGCCTGAGCTGATGTTTTTTCGGGTCATGATGGGCTGAAAGAAGGGCCGAACGGCTTGAGGCGACTGATGTGAGAAGGTGTGGTTGTCAGATGAGGTGGGAAATGGGAAGGAAAGACGAGGTGGATGAAATATAAGAGGAACTTGAGTCACTCGCAATATCAGATATTCCCACATGTCAGTACCGCGATTTCTACAAGAAAGAAAGAGTAGGCCAATGATAACCCTGCGCACAAGCCTGTAATGGCCGTATTGGGACATAGGCTAGCTTCATAAATTACCTCGGACATGGTGTCTCTGAGTGAAAACGCGCCCATTTTCAAAAACGCGAACACAGTTAGGATTGAATGAGACGTAAAGGGTTCCGAAGTCCGGCAGGTTTGTTTTAAAGGCGTTTTCCCTGTGCAAAAGGTAAATTGAGTATGATGCCGGGAATTCGTAACTGCGATGAGTCAATCCGCCATGCTGGGATGCTTCTTTAGATCATTAGGCGGGTCTCTTGGCGATAAGGTACACAGCAGGTGAAGCCTTTCACCGAGCCAATCCCGAGTAGGACTGCATCAACAAAACTCATCTGGTGAGAGCGGCCTTCCCATATTTCCCTCCCATTACAATATCTGAGGAAGTCTGGTGTATACAAACAACTGCAGTGAGCGTGCGAGAGAGAAAGTCCAAAAAGGAAAAAGATGATTTCAACTCGAAGATTAGATGAGTCGCATTCCGCTTCCCCTGTGTGGTCGTCCAGAGCGCCTTATCCACATCATGCTCCTTGGATTTACCCAAGGCAAGGCAGTTAAGACAAGCGCCGATGAGGATTTTGACACCCGATGATGCCCCAGGACGGTATCACGGAAGGCGCCTACCTACCTATCGTACGTATTGTAAGGATGGGCCAAGACCTACCTTCCCTCGAATTGGCTATCATCCGCGGTTGTTACCGCCTTCTCTGATAAGAAACCATCCCTCCCAGATGGCTGCTTCTAGAAAAGAAACGAGGAGGGAAGTACGAGTAGGGGCCTCACACGCTCTTACTTCCACCTGTTCCTGGCGTTCTCTTCCAACATCTCCCTCGCAGAGTCAACACCGAGTTTCCCCCATCCCCTCTTCGTTCCAACACTTCCTACAACCTCCTCGCCGAATACAGACATCGCCCAGAGAAACTGGCCTAAGTACTGTACATTCGAGCGAATCTAGTTCAGTCATTAGCAGAAGATATAGGAGAGGCTTCGCACTTCAAGAACCACCATGTCCGTCTCTCTATCTTTAGAGCTGTCCTCTCCGTCCTCCTCCATGCAGTCATCCTCCATCTATTCCGACTACAGTCAAGACGGAGAGCCGCAGAGCCAGAGCCAAGTCTACACCAAATCCGCGCCAAAGTTTGCGTCCAAAAAGTCCCCGTTCCTCAAGTATCCAGCCGGCATCCAGCGTCTCACCCGCCGCGGTCTTTGTACCTATGGCATCAACACGGGACCAGTACCTGATGACACAGACTGGACCAAGCTCACTGTTGCTATGCTCAGGGAGCAGCTTGTCATGCGTGAGATGCCGGACCACGGCAAGAAGGCTGTCCTCGTCGAGAGACTCGAGAACTTGGAGACGTATAAGCCTGAGGCTGTTGCTATCAGAGACGCTCCTGACGACAAGCCATTTGGCCCTATCTCCAGGAATGCCAGCAGCAACGGCGAGAAGCGTTTCTTTGTTGACATGGGTGATCAGAGCCACATTAGTGCTGTCAAGAAGGCGATGAAGGAAGACATGTTTGTGATCAAGCAGTCCGACGATTTTGATGGTGGGGTCAGCATTAGCGTTCATGGAGGCGGACCCGATACATACGGGGTGACTATCGGAAGTAGAACCTCATGCACCTGCTCGAGCATGGTAGGTTACAGTGAGGCGTCGTTCAGTCAATTGCTAATCTCAAATAGATGTTTCGACCCCGGAGCAACTGCAAGCACATCATCTGTGAGCTTGAACGCCACCCCCCTTTTGTTATATACAACATCTGACGAAGATTAGATGTCATGACGCATGTCTTTCGGGCCCCAGCTGAGCTCCTCCCGCAGAGAACCCTCTTTACCGAGGAGGTCATGAAGCTCTTTGACCGCGCACCCAAAATCCGCTTCACCGCAGTGGAGGCTAGCATGGACCCCTCCATGTCGGATGGTGTTCCGAAGTCCAAGGACGGCAAGTCCTGCCCTGTCTGTTTCAAGCACATTGGCAAGGCAGAGACAGTGTGTTGTGGCAAGTGTGGAAACCACACGCACTCGTCTTGCTTCGGCATATATACGCGACAGTACGCCGGATGGAGCCTCACGTGTCCTGTTTGTCAAGGTGGCTGGTCCGTCGCAGCTGTTTAAGGGCAAGATGAAAACATTTTTCAAAAGGTTTGGAGGGGTTCCGATGCCATGGAATGGAATTTCCCTGAGGGAAGGGTCTGACTGGCTTTGAAAGAGAATTTGGCAGAAAGATTGACGGCGCAATTAGGCAAAGAAGTATTTTCTTAGGAGCTAATTGTTCACTAGAGGGTTGAATGGCGAAGTAGAACAGCGAAGACGTACCTGAAATATACAATGTAATCACTATCAAGACCGAGCACTATGGTAGAAGAATCCTCAAATAATGTTGACTATCCACTAGTTTTAATGTGAACCGGATGCGCCCGAGCTATGCAAGGTCATGAACGAAAAGATCTTATTATACCTCTAGTAGAAGAAAGGGGCGAAAAGGGCGCCGGCACCGAACATGGAGGCAGTCGTAACGAAGCTGGCAGTTGAAAATAGGGAAATGCCGCTGAGTCCGTGTCCAGAGGTGCAACCTCCGCCGATTCTGGATCCCAGGCCTATGAGAAACCCTCCCACTGCCGCCAACTGTGGAGAGACAGCCGTATCAGCGGCACCAAGAGCAAACTCGGGGTACGCCGTCGCAACAGCCCACGCCCCGGCAGCCAAGCTCGCAGAGAAGAGGATGTTGCTGTATGATGGCTTCCCCTTTTCGCCGCCGCCCTGGACCGCCCACCAGAAATACCGACCAATCTCGTCGTAGGAAGTCGACACGCCGAGCATTGATTTGCGGGTGAGTAGCGAGAAGAGCTGCGCCAGACCGATCAAGAGCCCGCCGATGGTGGGGGCGACAACGGCATAGGGGCTGGCGGGGGTGTACTTCATGCTGACGTAGATGACGCCCGCGAAAAGGGCCTCGGCGCCAACGAAAGCGACGGCCTTGCTCAGACCGGCGCGCTCGTGGACCGTGAGCTTTGGGTTCTCGGGAGACGCCGAGCTGGCCTTGCTGGTGATGAGATTCTGGAGGAAGCCCGTCCACATGATGCCGGCGAGGACGGCGCCACCGAGTACATAGATGCCGGACTTTGTGCCGACGGCGATCTGCGCAAGGACGGTGCCGGGGCAGGACCCGGACAGGGCCATGCCGGCCCCGAGCACGGAGCCGCCGAGGATGTTGCCGTCGTACTGGGAGAAGAGACCCAGACGTGAGGGGCTGCGGGGCTTGGGCCGGACGTATCCCGCCTTGTCCAATACGAGGACGAAGATACTAGAGACATCATGTCAGTTGTTGAACAGTTTCAGGGGGTTGCGCTGGTGATGGCATACGTGCTGCTTGCTGCGGCTGCGAGGAAGGCCTGGATCATGTGCCAGTTCTCAAACTTAAGTTGAGCAATGATGACGGAGGGCTGGTAGACGCCCGCCGCTACGAGGGCGGCGCCGAACGCGGCACCAGACAGGGCGGTTGTCGCCATGGCTTAGTTGTCTCTGGATATTGTATTTGTCCGCTGGGAGCGTTCTGGGATGAACTGCTGCAAGCCGGGAGTTTGGCGCGCGGGTGTGCAAAAAGGAGAGGTTTTCTTTTCTTTGACAGCCCGAGCGAGAATGTAGTGGTGGTGATGCGTGGGAGAAGTTTAAAGTCTTTACACTCTCTACTTGTCTCGGGACGACCTGATGCAGCCTGCAGCCATATATGCTAGAGAAGAGCTTAACGTCTGGGAAACGTATCGAATTTGCGAAGTTTCTCGGTCTACTAAGTGAATCAAGCCCGAAGCCCAGATCTGTTCGGGGACTTGAAGAGAGATGGAAAAATGGACCGGTAGCGGGGCCCTGGTTAATAATCTTCCACTGTCACAGGCCGAACAGTGAAGAGGGCCACCCCTGCAGAGGGCAACATCCTCACCCGCCTAGATCAGTAATGATGGCCGATCCTGTATTTTGTATCGCGGCCGAGCCGGGCGTCCGGTTGACTTCGTCAAAGGCGGTTTAGAGTGTAAGTGCCGGATGGCTGGTGGCGTTGTTGGACTTGTTCCCTTTTCGGATGGCAATGACGCCTTTTCGAAGCCAATTAACGACATGACGCTAGCTTATTTCGAAACCATTTGGAATCGGTATCAAAAACCTCTATCGTACGAGAGAAGTCCTCGGTTCAAAGGGTAAGGCGGTTGGTTTGGTCCGTACGCGTTCAACCCCATAAGATAAAGATGCAATCCAAGCAGAGGTGATGCAGGTGGTGCGTGCGCCATTGCGGAAGGTCGGCATTCCAGGGCCATGAAGTCCTTCAGCAGCGATTGATTGATGTGATTGGGTCGAGCGGGGTATCTGAGGGGTGGTCAATAAGGTTCAATAAGGTTGCAGAAAATCAGTTGAATCGGCCCTGGTCCTGGGTTTGCCCGAACCCACAAGGGTTGTCTCTCGCCCGCGCCAAAGGACCTGAGGGAGGACGGCGACCTCTGAAGAAACAGTCGCCGACGTCGGGGAACTGCCGGGACGCACGGGCGCCGCCGAGAGTGGATACCCCTTATCCGGGGTGTTTCACACGTCTCGGGGGCTTTTGTAAGCCTGTGTTTCTTTCGGTGACTGCTGTCGAGACCAAGGGACTATATGCTATCTGAATTATGGCATTATGGACGGCGAAGATTATATGAGATGTTTCGAGAGGTCGGATATAAGAGTGGAGCGAGTGACCATATCGTGTATTAGTTGGCCTATATATCAGCAATTCCTCCAGAACTAGCCGATGGACCGGGTCAACCAGTTGCGAGACCATCTCCTCGACATTTCACTTGCATGTTCAAATATGGCTCAAGAGCCCACCATCCACGAGATATTTGAGCCGGTGACAGGTACGTGGCAGTACATCGTCGCCGACCCCTCCACGAAGGCCGCCGTGATCATCGACTCCGTCCTGGACTTTGATCCGGCAAAGAACGCAATCTCCACACAGACAGCCGACGGCCTTCTCGATGTTGTAAGGAAGAATGGCTACAAAGTCTTCGAGATTCTAGAGACACACGTCCACGCCGACCATCTGACTGCGTCTAAATATTTACAGTCCCGGCTGCGGGAGGCGCAAGACGGCGTGACCCCCGAGATCTGCATCGGCAGGCGGATCGGCGCCGTTCAAGAGAGACTCGCTGAGAAGTATGGCATCTCAAAAGATGAATACGTCAATGCTTTTGACCGGCTCCTCGACGATGACGAAATCCTCGAGATTGGGGAGCTCAAGGCCAAGGCTATCCATCTGCCGGGCCATACTCCCGACCACATGGGATACATGATTGGAGGTTAGCATTACACGGACTGTTACGAAAGTGTGCAGCACCAATTAGATTGACCGTGAATACAGCCAATGTCTTTGCCGGCGACTCTCTCTTCAACCACGACGTCGGGTCCGCGCGGTGCGACTTCCCCGGCGGCAACGCCCGAGACCTCTTTGCATCGGTGCGCCGGTTGCTGGATCTCCCGGAGACCACCAAAATCTGGACCGGGCACGACTACCCACCGGCCTACCGCGGCCCCGTGGCGGCGACGGAGGTTGCCAGGCAAAAAATAGAGAACAAGCACCTCGCGCGGGACGTGACGGAGGATGACTTTGTAAAGTGGCGCGAAGAGAGGGATTCGGGGCTCGGGGAGCCCAGGCTGATGCATTGGGCGTTGCAGGTCAACGTGAGGGCTGGAAATATGCCCAGCCCGACCAAATCTGGGGATCGGTTGCTTCATGTGCCTGTCAAGATGCAGGGCGTGACTTGGTGAGAGGATTCATGTCGTTTGGTGAGGGTGTGTCTAGCTGTTCGACTCTTATGTATGAGAGGGTAAGGATTGCGGAGGCGTTTGATGCATAGGATGTTTATTTTTGGCTACGGCTACGGCTGGATTTTGACATATTTCTTCGACTGTCCGTCCACATGCTTCAAGTTCCTACGTGCATGTGAAGTTATCACGAAGATCGAAAAAGGAAGCATGCGTACAAGTGCTTGTGTTTTGGAGACGTTGCGTTGGTTGGCCTATGCGTTGCAGCCCTCCGCGCCACCGCCGCGTGGGGAAAGTGCCGAGGTCTCATCACTGGATGCGGGGAGAAAATCGGCCCCGGCTGAGTGGTGGGAGGCCGGGGGGATATCTGCTCCCCCACCAAATCACGACGTCAACGTTAGCAGCGATCCATCTCCTCGTATTATTAATCTTGATTCGTTCGATTCTCCCTAATCATATAAGACCTTGCGGTGCCCTCATTACATCAATTCTACAACCGCAGACTAAATCTATGTCGTGACCGTCAAGATCAGCTACAACTAGCTAGTTCACATATTGACAATGCCTCACTCAATTACCGTCAAACAGATCGAGGGAAAGCCCGGAAAGGTCTACTATCCGTAAGAAAGCTCTTCTCACCGTTGACGATATTATTGCAAATTAATTCAAACTTCAGCCTCCAGCTCAATGAAGTTCCAAAGCCGTCGCCAGGTCCCAAAGATGTCTTGGTGCGGTTGACGGCCGCAGCCCTCAACCACCGTGACCTCTTCATCCGGCGTCATCTGTACCCGGGCATCTCATTTGACCACCCGCTCATGGCAGACGGTTATGGCATCGTTGTCGAGGTCGGAAAAGATGCAGACAGTAGCCTCCTCAACAAGCCAGTCCTCATCACACCCAGCCGTGGCTGGGCCTCCAGCCCGGACGGGCCGGAGGACATTCGCAAATTCAGCGTCATCGGCGCCACCCAGACGTACCCAGACGGTACCGCACAAGACTACATCGCTCTCCCCCAGGACGAGGTCGAGCTGGCTCCGGAGCACCTCACCCGCGCCGAAGGCGCCGCCCTTCCCCTCGTCGGGCTCACGGGCTGGCGTGCGCTGGTGACAAAGAGCGGCAACGCGGAGAAGGGAAGAAACATCCTCGTCACGGGCATCGGAGGCGGTGTCGCGCTCCAGGTCCTCCAGTTTGCCGTCGCGTTTGGCTGCAATGTCTACGTCACCTCTGGCGACGAGGCCAAGATTGAAAAGGCCAAGAGCATGGGCGCCGCCGGGGGCGTGAACTATAAGAAGAAAGGATGGGAGAAGGAGCTACAGGCTCAGCTCCCCAAGTCCCGGCCGTATCTCGACGCTGTGGTCGATGGTGCCGGTGGAGATCTGGTGGGAAAGGCGGTCAAGGTGCTCAAGCCGGGCGGTGTCATTAGCCAGTACGGCATGACGGTGTCGCCGCAGATGGACTGGCTGATGCAGGCTGTTCTCAAGAACGTGGAGCTCAAGGGCACGACGATGGGATCGCGAGAGGAGTTTAGGGACATGGTTGCCTTTGTGAGGGAGAAGAAGATTAGGCCTGTTGTGAGCCGAACGGTGAAAGGGCTGTCAAATCTCGAGGGTATCGACGGGCTGTTCAAGGATATGGAAGCGGGCAAGCAGTTTGGAAAACTGGTGGTTGAGTTTGAAGAGCCCTCCGCGTCGCCTAAGCTGTAAGGGCTTTTTGTCCCGATGGAGGATACGACGTAGAGCATGTAGGCTGTCTTAATAGCTACGTGGATGTCTCTGAGCATTATGAAGGCTTGGCAAGAAATGGAAGTGCTCCTAATCCAGAGGATCATTCTCTCCTGTCTCTACCTTGTTTTTTTTTTTTTTTTTTTTTTTTTTTTTTTTTTTTTTGGGGTTTTCTTCGCCCCTTTTGATTCTCCCCCACCCCCTTTTACATAAAGGCTTGGGGGGGGTGGTGGGGGGGGTGTTTTTTTGTTTTTTTTTTTTTTTTCTTTGGGGGTTGCCTGCCACATCTTGAGACTCCCCAACCGACTGATACATAGACGCAGTAGAGGGGAAGGTGGGTGGGACAGTCTATTGTATCCGTCATACATGTCAACTGTATGGCCCTGAGCATATAACACGAATACCCTTGCTATCGTCTGAAAAGTCCAAACTCTTGAGGAGCCATCGACACTCATTGCTGTCTTCCTAGAAGGGGTTCTCGAAGATGTGTTTGGGCCATCATGTTGTATTCAAAGAGAAGCCACACAAACACAGACTCTGCCATGGGTTCGCAGAGGGGATTTCCTTTCTTTGTTAGGGTCATGCCTTGCCTTTGCTGCTTGTCGATTCTGTTCAGCTACTCTCAGTAGAGTTTTTACCTGGATCTTTGGTCAATCCTATGTATAATCCAGTGTATATACACCGCATTCGGTGCCCTCGGGATTGATGTACATTTACCTTGGCCCCTTACAACTGGCTTCTTACAGTCTCAGGCTCCTCTTACCTCTATTTTACGCTCAGAGGTATCCGGTCCAGTCCGCCCTGTTCCTTCTCTGTCACTCACACCAAAGAAGAAAAGATCCTCCTCGCTCCTCGCTCCTCCCTCACCCATCTCAATCTCAACAGCCCCCCGAAATAATCCAGGCCTGCCATCTCGCTCATAATACTGCTAGACCCTTCGCAGCCAACCCTCAAAATGTGGCACAAAGCCATATTCGTCATCACGGCGGTAACGTTGATGCTCCTGACGAGTGTCAATGTTGTCGCCGCTACGGGTGCCATCGCGGACTTCAACACCATCGACGTTTCCACCGAAGCTACCTTCACCGACGTACTCTCCAAGCGCGACCTTTCTATCGGACCTCACCTTGCCCCCATGGACTTCCCTCACGACAACCCCTTGAACATCACCGAAGAGGAGGCCCTCAAGTACGAACACAAGGTCATCCCCGTCGACAAGGAGATCTGGGACCACCTCGTCAAGACCAACGGCCTCGATCGCGAGCGCCAGCTCATCGAGGAGAACACTGAGGAGTACAACGAATCCCTCTCCATCATCAACAAGCGAGTCCCTTGCGGCAGAAACAATGATCTCGAGAAGAACCCGCCTGACCCACAGAATTGGTGTACTCCCAGCCCAGTCTTTGGCGACTGCCAGCTTGGTCTATGGTGCCAAGCCGACCAGCCGGGCTTCAGAAACGTGCCTAGCCGCGGCTGGGTCTTCAATAACGCCTGCGACCTCATCGGAGAGAACGTGCCTTTCCATTGGGCCGACTGGCAGGAGATTTGCGGCGCCCTCCCCTACGTCACTCTCTTCTTCGCCCACAGGGACCGCTGGCCTCACATGGCGTAAGTGCTGTCCTCTCAGACCTTCTATTACGCTGTCGAATGGACACTGACGCAGTTGTTGCAGGTACGCTGGCAAATACTACAGCAGCTACACCCCTGGATGGGAGATCTACTATCCCGGCATTCCGGAGGGTGGAGAATACCCGGCTAGCTACTACTACCGTCGCACCTTTGACTGCTCGATGAAGAAGAAGGATGAACGTCAGATCGGTACAGATATCTGAGTGGCAGGTGAATACCGGGACCTCTTGCTCTGCGTAACCGGAACCCTCATCATGTTCCTTCAGGAATAGGGAGACTGAATTCGGATCAGATACGGAGAAACAGAACTTGCCAGGGGACATACAACGGTTGGAGGTTGAGATCATTCCGCGTCACCTAGCTTAGGTAGTGGACACCAGCTTCTCAAGACAACTGCAATACGCACCTTGGTTTTTCTCTCTCTCTATATTGACATTTCGCTTTTGATTTACAGCCCTCCAGGCGGTGGTGCAGTCTTAGTAGATGGCCAAGATGTGAGAAGACTCTTGAACTCTTGAATGGAAGGGTATCTTGAGTGAGCTAACACCTCACCTATGCATGTGGCGGCCCCTTTTCTGCAAAGATGCAACAGGCATCTTACACAGTCTACACGATTTCTTCCGCGCTCTCCTTTGTCCAGACTCCCGCTCCCGCTCCCGCTCCCGCTCCCAGTCCTCACTCGTCGTCCTCGCTCTTCTTTCTCTTCTTTCTCTTGTGGCCGAGCTCTTCGGGAGGTATGAAGTCTTTTTCCCTCTCGCGCAACCTCTCCTCCTTCTTCTGCTTCTGCTGCTCCAAGCGCTCGGCCTGTGCGGCCTTGTTCTTGGCTTCCTTGCCCAAAAAGTACTCTCCCGTCTCGATCTGCTTGTCGACCTTGCTCTTCTCGGGCGCGGGCGGGAAGGGCGTGTAGACCTTTTTGGACTTGTCCGTGACCTTGAGCGGCACACGACGGCTGCTGAGCGTCTTCTTCTTGAAGTTGGGCAGGAAGCGGTCCCAGCTCTCGTTGGCGAGCTCTGGGTCCTTTGCGAGCTCGCGCTTGATCATGAGCTCCTTGATGTGGTAGATGGGGTGGATGTTTTCCATGCAGTCCTCGACGACGCGGCGCACCTCCTTGAGGCCCTTGAAGGGTCCCATGACGGAGACGGTGCTGCCCTGCACGAGGATGTAGGTCTGGGTGAGCAGCTCGAGGGCCTTGAGGGTCGAGCCGTTGGGGCCGAGGATGCGCTGGCGGCGCTTGACATAGCGCTCTTTGTTGCGTACCAGGTTGCGGATCTTGATGATGTCGCATGCGACGCCGTCTTCGAGAATCTTGAGCGCCTGCGGCGCGGGCACGCTTCGGGCGAGGAGCTTGATGAGATCGCGGGCGTTGAGGATGGCGGCGGGGTCAAACGTTTTTCTGAGGCAGAGAGGCATGTTAGTTGCTGTCGTTGACTAGGCTGAGCAGTGAGAAGGGATGGGAGCGTAAAAAAATATTAAAAAAAGGCCGACCTTGTCGTCTTGACGGTCATTGAACCCTCAATCAAGTCGAGCGAGCAAGCAATGCCCGTCTTCTCGAGAGCCTTTGTGACGAGAGGCCATGCCTCCTTGAGGTACACTTCGCGGTACTTGGGGAAGACGATCTGGAAGGACGATTCCTCAGCGAATGTGCCGCCAGCGTTATCGGCCGGCGTGAATGTGTCGATTTTCCATTTGTCAATATCGTCCGTGTCCCACGGTTTGTCCTTCTTGTATGTGGAGGGCATCTTGTCGGTTGTCGCGTGTTTGAAAAACGGGCGATGCGGAATTGTATTCGAGAAAAGTTTCGTAGTTGCTGCAGGTACTGGTGGCTGCGGCGAACTTTTTCTTATCGATAACGCTACAGACGGCACGTGGGGTGGACACCGAATTTTATGGGTCCCGATCCGGCATCCTCGCGGTGAAGCCGGCCCAGCTCACGTCGTGGGAGATGTTCACAGGTTCAGCGTTTCAAGAGTCTCAACAGCAGTGACAGTATGAAGTACAGTAACTTTCAGAAATTAGACATAATATAGACTTTAATAGCCGATAAGTGGCATGTTGGCAACGCGCATGCAACTGGCGGTCCAGACAAGTCTAGAGCCCCAACGAAGCCTCATGTGCGAGCCACAACTCGACAACAATATTGCGGATTGTGGCGGAAAGACTCGGTCAGTGAAAACTCATGGATTGCTGGGTTCGTCAGCAAGGACTGTTTCAGCGCATGCCAATCATGGAGTTCAACCGCTCCGAACAGAGTGATCGATTGCACAGTTATATCCAAGTTTTCGATGTTTTACCGGCGCTCCAAAACGGGAATCTGCCAAGCATATCCGTACGACACTGAGTCTGAATCGGCGATGCCGTCAGCGTCATATCAGATAACAGCGAACGCTCTTTCAGAACTTGTGTTTGCGGGTACCGGGGTCATTGTGACCCCCTATTAATTAGGTGCCTGCCCTGCCCGTTCATCAACGAGAGAAAACTTCAAGATCCTGGCCCATCAGCACAGCGCGCATGTTTTAAGGCTGAATGGAGTAGCCTGTCCAATCAAACAGCGGCATGTGTAATATGGTCTAGGTACGGATAGTGGGACGACCGCTAGGTAATCAGTATCGCCGATAGGCTTAGTTGGCAGTTATCGCATCCATCCCCAGTAAATTTGGCCATCCATTCTGATCGATTAAGGGGATGCGGGATGAAATCAATCCGTTCACCATTCCATCTCTTCTCCCCTATTCCAAAAGGCAACCAGCTTCTGCATCCAATGCGCCTTTCTAATGCCTGAGACCTGGCTGTAGCTTCACCTTGCAACCTTAGTTTCCTCCCCGCAATTCTGTCCCAAGGGAACGTACCTGCCTCCCCCTCCAACTCGACAATTCGCTCCTTTCTGAGTCGCCTCCAGCGCGTCTTCCCGCTGAACAATTTTTTCTCGCCCTCCTACGTATCTACACTCTGCCACCTACCACCCACGGTCAGACTACACACAAACACACCCGCCTCGCAACCTCGTTTTCGCGCTTCGAATCCCCGACACAAACCACTTTCCCGGTGGGTCTCCTTTGCGAAAAACTTGCGACTGCGCTATTCGTACACGCGCGTCTTGCGATCGCGAAGCAGCATCCGAAAGCCTCCCTCCTTCGACAGAATCTCCCCGTCCGCGACGAATTCGCTGCAACCGCCATCCTGGCTGCCGTTCGAGAGCCTTCTGTGCCTGCTCCGGCTTTGGACAACATTGCAGAACACGATCACGATCTGCCCTCCTTTCGATCCGTCATGGAGGAAGCCACGGCTCTGGCCAACCTCGCGTTGCCTCAAACGAATCTTGAGACGATCTCGCGGCCTAGTTCCACGTCGACTTCTGAATCCGCATCCGCAGCTGTAGCTGCGGCGGCGGCGGTTCCCCAGTTGCCAGGCATTTCGGCGCTTGCCCAGGCCAATAACTCTGCGACAAGCTCGCCCCAGATGCGGTACGTCAGTATGCTTGGTTTTTTGAAATAAAGAAGAAGATCAAGCAGAGGGACACGACGGGTGATCAACATTGCGGCCAAAAAAAAACACATGCGCTGTCCGCGCGCTTGCTGAACAACTCTGGAGCCATTCGGGCGAAAAAGTTGTCATTTAACCTACTTCGCCCCATCGACAAATTTCCCTCTGCTGCAGTATCCTGCGCTAGTTACAGTCCGGCCCTAGTGTTGAACGAAACAGCCAGGACGGGATCGAAGAGAAAACGTCCAAAGAGTGACGAGAGCTTCATGTGCTGACTTGATCCACAGAGAAGCGATTCCCGCGCCCGCTCCCGTTGCCGCCTCCACACCGACTCAGGTGCCCGCGCCCGCGCCAGCTCCCGCGCCGACGCCGACTTACGCTTCTGGCGGAGGCTCCACCACGGTATGTTTGCGTTTGCCTTACCTTATCCCACCTTGTACGGAGACCATCGCGGGTATCTTATCATTGAGTCCAATCCCGAACCCCAAAAAATCCACCATCTCCTGCGTTAGTGTTATCGCAATTACCGTCGTTCAAGTATTGCTGTTATCTAAGAACCAATGAACCCTGCAAGGCAGGTGTGGGGCAGCAACTGGCCGCGGTCGTTCCTACCCTGTCTTATCTTTGCTCCACAGATAAGTTTTCTTGTTACCATGCAGCCATGCTCGTCAACACCAAGATCAGAATCCCGTCCCATCGCGCGCTTCACCCCGTTGAGCACCACAAACAACCAACTAGCCACAGTCTTTTGCTTTCTTTTGGAGCACATACTGAACGCCTCTTTTGTGACCTTTTGCGACCATTCCACTGGAGTTGCGCACCATGATGGCCACCCAAGCTAACGAGTCTACGCAGCCAACATGCCAAAACTGCCAGACCTCAACCACACCCTTGTGGCGGCGCGATGAATACGGATCAGTCCTTTGCAATGCATGCGGGCTTTTCCTGAAGTTGCATGCAAGTAGACATTATCTTTCCCTCGGGAAGACGAGCTAACCTGTTACCAGGGTCGTCCGCGTCCGATTTCGCTCAAGACCGACGTGATCAAGAGCCGAAACCGAGTGAAGACGATGCGACCTGATCTTGCGTCTAAGAAGAAGGTATGAAGTCCGTATGCGTTTCCAGACCTTGGCTAAAAAATGTCGCTAGCAACAGCAGCAGCAGCAACAAGCTCACCAATTTGGCGCAAACGATCCGAACGGCCTCGACATCCATGGGCATAACCAGCGCAGACCGTCGCAAAAGCAAAATGGCAATCCGGACGGCTCTGACTCCCCCGTTTCTCGTACCGCGACCCCGTCTCTATACAACCCGAGTCTACCGGTCTTTCAGGGCATGGATGATGCGCAGCTCCAGGCTGGGCTGCAAGGCTTCAACGTTTCTGGGTCGGACAACCGCTCGGGCTCCCCCCTGAATGGTGACCGCCATCTCGATGTCCCACAAACACATGAGCAGCTTATTGCCGCCAATTCGGCCCTCAAAACCCGTGTTAGTGAGCTGGAGCTGATCAACGAACTCTTCCGCGGTCGACTCAGCCAAATGGAGCAAGACGAAGCGAGCGCAAGAAGGGGGCAGGAAATCAGCGGCAAGGCCGAGGCTCAACTGCGAGCCCAACTTGAGAGCAGTAAAAAACAACTGGATGAAAGCCATCGCAGAGAGAACAACCTGAAGCGGCGTCTTGACGAAATGGAGCTCGAGTTGAAGGAGGTAAACGACGCCCTGGACCTCTCGGACTCTGGCCGCGCAGCAAAAAAGCCTCGGGTTGCCGAGGCGGTTAGCAGCGCCGGCGCCGGCAGCGCAGCAGGTGATGGTAGTGGTGGCGGCGGAGAATCCGAGGTCTCTACTCCCCAATCCGCCGCGAACTGACACGGCACCACCCATGGTCAGAATCATTGTCGTCTGCGCGATTTCCACGTACATCACCATCACCCGCCAACCCCTCGGGACAGACTTTGCAAAATCCTCCACGCTTATACCTATAATGCTGCGTGTGTTTTCCGTGTTTCTTTTCTTGATTTCCCCCGGACGTCCTACGGGATTCGGGTACGATGGCTCGAGCTGCTTGCTGCTAGAGGGACAGGCGTTGCGGCCCTGCGGGTCAAGGTAGTCAAAAGTTTTTATTTGCGACAAAAAATAGAGGCTTTACGGAATTGATGACCACACACACACATTCTTTCTTTTCAGATGTGCTCCGTACTATATCTGTGATGCCTGTCGTTTCTATCATACTCATTGCTCCTATTCCATGCTTCACTGTGTAATCTGTATTTTTGGGGTTAAAAGGAGGAGGTTGATGGTAATGATGGCATATAGACAGGAAAACGGTTGTAAGTGCTGCCAGGTCCGAAGGAGGAGGAGATCTCAAGATCACCAACGTAGCGATCTCTCTTGGAAGCTGTCATCAACTGCAAGTAGTTGGCGTTTTGTAGAGGCTTGGGAGGTCCTGAGTGAAGGCACGTGGCAACTGGGCAACCCATATTCGTGTTGATCGGTCACTCTGTTTGTGTAGGTTAAACCTTTTGAACTTAGTAGTAGACTAACTGGCCATTGGCTAAAGGCTCTTTCTCCCCACTCTGTGAACGTGCGCCTTCGTCCCTGGAGCCTCCTCTGTTTTTCTTCAACTTGAAGGTAACAGAATGTCTCATACTACATGTACGTACTTGATTACTTTGTGACTATTTCCGCACCTGTATATCGTGTGTCTTGTGGTCTTCTTTATCGCTCTGTATGGTTTCAAAGGCGCTGCAAGGTAGTCGTGCGTGGAACAGAGGGAAAGGATAAGAGATTAGGCTTCAAATGGAGAACAGCAAGTGAGAACTATAAAGATCAGATGACTTCTAATAAACCAGCTTCCGCTTCTGATCTCATTCCCTCTCCCATGTTCCTTGGGTGGTAAGAATAGCTGGAACTAGATTGATAGGAAAGTTGTCCGTAATCTTGACGATAGCCTTGCTGGTAGCTTCTTTATTATCTTCCCGAGGATGGTTGTAGGACAACTGGGGATATCAGACATGATGGGACTTAAGCAGAGTCGAAGACGAGTGAAATCAAGCGCAGACCATGTAAAATCTTCGATCCATCAACCTGTATATACTCTCGAAAGTTTCTAGATAGTCCGGAAGGAGTTATACTGATCGGATATGATGATTCACCTGCTCCGGACCGGGGTGAACGAGCAGATGGACCGTTCATTACAAACATGCAACTTTCCGTACACAATTCGCTTGGATGACATGCAATATTACAGAGACTGTCACCAAAAAGCGATTGTGGTGGTCAATAATATGTTCCTGGACCTCCAACAGGGAGCCGAGGGAGAGGGAGATGCGATTAGATACTAGTGTACCTAGGAAGACATGCGTGGAGCCGGGAAGGACAAAGGGCTGCAAGACAAGGATGCCGGCTCGGGTGGATGCTGCTGGAGAAAAGAGACGGGCGCATCCTCTCCCGTCAGCGCTTCCCGCCCGGCAGCTCCATATTTCCCTTATCATATCATTTGCGGGGTTGATAACGCCTTTGTTGACTTTACCTTATCGTTGAGGAAATTCTGTACCTAGATGGGTTGTTGAGTGTTTATTCGTTTTCCATGAGACTCCTCCCAATGATGCCGTGCTGCAGATTGACGTATTCGAACGGCGATGATCTCTTGGCCAACTCTTCGGACTTTGTGGTGCAAGTTCACAAAAATCACACACACTACATAGACTCTGGCCCCTTCTGCAATCCCTGGGAATCCTTCGCCCCGGACAAGACAGGGATGATGGCAACATCCATTTTTGGCGCAAGGGCTTGTTTTCGGCCGTGCATGCCCGCGATAGAGGGGCTGGGAGACGTGTTTATCGTAAAAGATACATTAAGATAAGACACCGCTATCAAAGTTCTCGTCGAGGCAAAAAAAATAAATTTAAAGACATCCCCTTCCACGGCCTCATCCAATGCCCCCGATTGTTACTCTGCACATGGCTTTTTCAACGGAGCTATCGAGCCCTCTTGTCTCCTCACAGACCGTAAAAAAATTCCAGAAGGTAAAGCTGATCCGAACTGTGTCTAATGATGTGCATCTTCTCACAATAAACACACTGGCATTAGCAAATATGAATTGAGGCGCAGCATTACAAGAACACCATTAGATAGACCACAAGTTGAAAACGGAAGTTTCTCTGCGCAATGTGGCGAACATTAGTGGCATGCCCGGCGGGGTAGAGCCAAAGAAATGGAAGCACGGAAGCAACCACGCAACAAGCCTCGGTGGCTCACTGGAAGGGCAACGGACCCGAGGGGAATGTAAGTGTGGTGCAAGGGGTGCTGAGGTGAAGATTGTCGCGGATTCCAGAGCTGCGCACCGAGATTTACTGCCCATTCTCAGGTGCCATGTGTTTTGTAAGAGGTAGGTAGGTATCCGTAACGTACCTGAGGCATAGCATGGCACCTACTAGACTAGGTACGCCTCTTGACCTCATGGAGAGGGAAAACGTTGCGTTGGTAGAGCGGCAGATCACCTCGATGGAGAGCAGCACACCATCCTTACCAGCTCTCCTACCATTAGGAGGCGGTTCAGCTAGTCTCTCAACACTCTCCCTGCGTGGGTGGAAACCCCGTCCAACCTCTTCCGCGGGTGGCGGCCCGTGGTCTGGAGATCGTCTGGAGACGAATGAGCTCTCCCATGAGTCCCATCCTAAGTAAGGTGAGTGTGGAGTGCTGTGGAAGGAAGGGGGGGAAACAAAAAAGAAGACAAGCTCGGACGCCCGGAGCCACGCCCATTTACCACCGGTGACTGTGACCCATGGCTCAAGCGAGTCAACGCTTCCGCAACGCAATCCAACAGCCACAGGAGACAGAAAGAAAGAGCCTGGGCCTCCGTGGGTTGGAACCTTTCCTCTGCCGTATAATATTGCCGTAAGGTAATGTACCTCCTCTTAGTTCACCATATAACACACTTGGTCATCTCTCGGCGGCCTCTCGCCATTGGCCGATGAGGTATCGATTTCCTGTGCCCAAGCGGCCGCTTTAGGCAAGTGTAGTCCCCACCGCAACCTGGGGAGGCTGCCGCCCACACACACCCACCCCATGGGTCTGGAGGTACGGGCCCACGGTCCACGGCTCACGGAGGGAATCGGGGGAACGGACGGCGAGCGAAAGGCGTGGCGTGCTGGCAGCAACATAAGAAGAGAAGGCGAGAAAGATACCTGCATGCCGGTCTGCATATCAATTCCCATATCAATCGGCACACACGCCCGCACTCTCTTCGTGTCTTCCCGCAAATTCCATCCTCCCGTTCTTGTTGTGTTGTGCGCCTTGTCTTTCTATCTACCTTATGTAACCCATTCGTGTGGAACATTGCAGTTACAGGGTGGAATCTCACAACTGACACCAGGGAGGAACGTCGAGTCTATCCCTCTCGTGTCTAGTTCCCTCCAGAAACATTTCAGAGGAGAGCTCAGCTTCATACCTCTCATATCTCTCTTCACCACCATACCAGTTCCTTTTTTTTTCCGCCTCAGTATTGACATTGGCCTCCTTCCCCCCCGGGGCAGTCCTAATTCTTCTCACAACACCATGACGACAGCAGGAGGTTAACCATTCTTCACCACCACCCCCCTTCTCGAAAGTGGCTCACGCCTGCTTCTTCCCAAATCCAAAGAACCCACATCTTCTAAAGCGATCACAGACCTAATTATAAGTTTCCTCGCGGAAAATAATAAATTGTTACGCGGACAGACTCGCCCGGAATAATAAAACACAATGCTCCAGATGGCGACATTTCCGAACCGGGCCGGCTACAGCCCACTCGTACCCTCACCTCTAAACCCAGACGTACACGCAATCGCACCGCAACGCTGCCAGAGGCTACGAGAAAAGAGACGCCAACAAGGCCGCGGGGATGTGAGCCCAACCCAGAGACTGCTCCGTCACAAGGCCGCCATGGCCTGGAAGTCGGAGGCTCTGACGCGGGAAAGCACGATATACACTAGGGACGAGATCCTCGACATCATCGCCGAGTGTGATCGCCAAGACGTTGCCGCGAGGGGCCTCGTCGTCATGGCCACTTCGAACCAGCCGCCGTGGCCGCCTCAGAAGAAGCAGCCCAAGGTCCACATTCGAGCGGCGCACTGGAAGGAGCACGAGGGCGACGAGTACGATTTCTTCTGCGAGACGGACGACGATTCGGAGGAGAGCTCACGGCAGTGGCCGTCTCTCGTGCCCAGGCTGCGCAGTCCCTTCTCCAAAGATACCGCACGCCGGGTTGCGTTGGCATTTGGATTGATGTGTATCTGCGGATGTCTACCGGCGCTACGAGCCCACGGCTTCCACATGTACTCGGCGACCGAGGCCGCCTAGGTGGCATGGTCCTCCTACCTTTGGCCACATTGAACAAATCCACCAGCTTTTCATCATCCAGAGGGGAAAAGTTATAATATTTGCCCAACCCAAAAGCGAAGAGAAGAGTCTGTCTATCAGAGCGGGACTTTATCATCATCCATATATCAGGCCGAACCAGCTTACGTCTAGAGAGCATACATTACACACATTACGCACATCAATCCTACGACTCCTTGTCGAGGCTTACTTCTTCTCGTCGCTCGGGTCGGGACGCTTTTCTTTATTCGTCGTGGGATCGGCATTGACCTGTTTTGCGGCCTCCTTGGCAGCCTCATCGGCGGCTTCGGTAGAAGCTTCTTCCTCTTTGGCCTTTTTGGCGTGGTTGACCTGCCAAATGGCTCGCTCAATTTCCACCCCCAACTCGGGTACATCAAGCGCTTTGGCAATGCGTTGGCCATTGGCTTGCGAAAGCAGTATTGCTTCGTCCTTTGCGTTGTCTCCCTTGCCTTTCAAAGGCTCCGTGCTGCCAAGGGCCGGTTTCGAAGGTGTTATGGTCGTGTTTTCTGGAATTAAAGGCGTATAAATGTCATTCAATAACTTTGACGGGGACAGGGCCAGGAGTTTATTGTCAACGAGGAATCGGAGGTGCTTGCCTCCCTCAAGAGCACGCCAATGCGACCAAGCTCTGTAGACGAGATAGAAGAATGGCAGATTAGGTATCCTGGTGGATAATAATATCAGCAATGCAATTCTTCACAAAGGACTGAAAGTTCCCAACTTACACGGGTACCAGGGCGAATGGTGCCGAGATGGGCATGCCAATCAAGCACCATATGAGCTTTCTCTTGTGGAGCGCATCCCGTTCCGTCGCCAGCGTCCTGACGACTTGCTCGGCCTGCCTTGTAGGAATGATGTTTTCTGGGAAGACCAATTCGATCTGCTCCTTACCCTGGAGCTCCTCGTCCTTGCGTCGCGCAGAAATGGGTGGAACCGACTTCAGCCCCCATTCTTCGTAAGGAATACGACGAAGGGCATAATTTCCATAGCTGACAACCTTCTTCTGCCATCCGCTTTCTTTTGCCTCCCAACCTGCCCACAGCTTCGCTGCTTTCTTGCCGACCTTATCTGCCAAGCCTTGTTTGTTCGTCGTCGCAATGTTGAGCCGTTGTGAGTAGAGGAGCGTCCGACTCGTTGTGATCGGGAGGAGGTAGAGACGCATATCGGATGGCGAGGTTCAGTCCGAGCGATGGATGCCAGGGTTTGGGGGCGATTAACTTCGTCGTCGTCCCTCGAGGATGTGTGACGCGCTGCCCCGCGGCAGTTGCAGTTGCGATGGGATGGAGGGGGGAGGGGGACGCTTTTGGCTCAGAGTTTAGCAGAAGCAGCTTCCTCCAGTCCGCATGGCGAGTTTTGTATGGAATTGGACGAGGGGCAAAGAAGCTCAAGTGAAAGAATTCAGGCGGCCTCTTGTCCCTGGTCGAAGAAAAGAGGCAATTTTGACGTGTGTCGTGGAGACCAAGTTCCGAAGCTGTGAGCCTCTTGGAATTTTGAAGAGCTAGAGCCCTGCCCCCTGTCATCCATCATACCTTAGCTTCTGGGTCAAGCTTCCTGGACTGAACCCGGACGCAGAGCAGTGACGCAGGTCGGCGTCATGGGCCTTTCCTGTGATTTGAGTGGTGCGCCGAATTGTGAGAGTCCACTGTTAGGGCGATACATGAAGGGGCATCCCCGGAGCTTAAGAGTGCTTGCATCAATGTCTATCGGCGCCCCCTGCAGAGCTGCGCCATAGGGGAAGAAACGGGCCTGGCACCATGCCCAATATCCACCCAGCTTAAAATCGACCGGCAAGCAGACGTGTGCCCCTCTATCTTGTCCGAATTTTCTCTGGTCCCAGATCGCGCTCACGCAAATTTGGCTTTCGAAACCAGCTAAATTCCTCCATCGTGAGGTGACCGAGGCCCGCGGGTTCGGGAGTACGTACCGGATAGTCTCACAGGCAGCCGGCATCGAAGGCCCACACGTTGCTCCAGTTGCTCCAGTGCTCCGGTGCTAACCAGCCTTCCAATCGGGCTGTCACCCAGGCACGCTCCGTTTGACACCATTTCCCACTTTCCCACTCTCCCTCCCCAGCCCTCCATTTTGTCGTCCAGTCCATCTGGCGCCGCAAGAGGTGTCTGGACTCTGTAGTCTTTCTGCAAAGTTTCCCGGTTTGCTGGAACGCCCGGGCGAAAGTTGCGGTCACAGACCTGCAGTGGCACAAGGCGAGTGTCGTGTGGTCTGCAATCTGGTGTTTTCCTAGGCTGGCAACCGTCGCGCAGCTTCGGGATTCACCGTGCAGACAGAGTCAGAGACGGGGGACTGGACGGAGACGACGACGAAGCCAAGACATAGCGACGCGAGCCAGCACCACTAGCTCATCTCTCCCCACGAGGACACAGCCGCCGCCTCCGCCGCCGTTGAGAGAGACACAGGGCGCACCCAACCGTTGCTAACTGTCTCCCGTCACGCGCACTTCTTCTGCGGTGCTCTTTTTTTAACTCGGGGCTTCCAGTCGGTCTCGTTGCTGCTTGACCTTCTTGCATTTTTTTTCCCCTACCTGATCATAGTCTTATTTCTTTTCGTTTCTTCCGCTCCTTCGCCCTCACGCCTCTCCTGCTCGACTTGTATACTCCTTCGACCATAACAGTGCACGAAACCACCTGCGATAATAATATCGATAGCACGCTTTCCTACTGCTTCGACCAAAAGGCGGAGTGCATATTAATATGCGAGCCTCTTCACACGCCATTGACGAAGTGTTGCATCCGCGACGCTCACAATCGCAGACGGCCTCGTCATAGCACGCCTCCTCTCGAGTTCAGCCTCCAGCCTCAGCCGCGGCTGCGACTGCGATGAGCACATCCAGCCACCCGCCTGGCAGTTCCGGCTCGCCCGACTTTAGAGCATCAGCTGGCACAAGCAGCACCGCGATCGACAATGGTGCCCCGCGCATGCGATTACCAGCGCGATCGCTTCCTGGTAAGGATGATCTGCGGTCCATAGGAGCCCGTCGATGAGCAGGAACCAAACTAATCACCTCGACATAATAGCCTGGATCGATTCATACGAAACACGGTACGGCAAGCCAGCTGAAGACCAACTTCAACTACTGTCACCCCCAGCACGAACCGTCCCACCTCATCACAATCACTTGCCTAAGGAGCCTGATCGTCGGGTGTCGCGAGATGGCTATGTCGACTTGACTGGCGACCCTATCTTAGAGAAAGCTCGCCCGAACACGAATGTCCGACTTACGGACTTCTTCCGCGGCAAGGGCGCGCAACACGGCAGAAAGTGGGATCACCTACGGACTGCAGAACCCGTCATCGTATCGGCACACAGGCCCGCAACCCAAGGCCCAACAGCAGCATGGAAAGACTTTCTCCAGTCGTCAGCCTACGGGCACATGGAAGGCGAACAGTCGGAGGTTGTGGACGTCAGCATGCTGGATAGGCTGCAACCCGGTTTTAATAAGCGGTACGACTCGCATGCACACCGAGATTTGGAGAAGGGATCCACGAAACAGAGGAGAACAAAGACGATTCGGCAAAGAATGTGGTCTCTCATTCTACGACACTACCTAGTACCCCTGGTTTTCCGACTGACGGTCATGTTCACGTCCATCATCGCGTTAGCTATCGCAGCCCGGATTTACGAAAAGGAGAACGCCAAGAGCAGCGTCAGCCCGGAACGGGCGCAAAGTATTGTCGCGATCGCCGTCGACACAGTCGCAGTGCCATACATTGGGTATATGCTTTGGGACGAGTACACGGGCAAACCACTGGGCCTCCGACCGGCCATCCAGAAAATTGCCCTCATCCTGCTTGACCTCTTCTTCATTATATTCAAATCAGCCAGCACCACCCTGGCATTCGAATCGCTAGTCTTCCATAACGTCGAAGCAGGGCAAGTGAGGCAATTAAGCCAGGCCCTGGCGTCTTTTATGCTGGCTGGGCTGCTAGCGTGGACCTTGAACTTCATGGTTAATATTTTCCGAACGGTTCAACGACTTGGAGGCGGCGAGGATGAAAGCTCTCACGATCGCATGTAGATTGGGAAGGGCCTTCTTTGGCCTGTCTTGTTGGGTATACCCGGTGTATTAAAGCCTGTACGATAACTGTAGCGTATAACGGTAGCTGCAGTTCTTCTTCTTTGTTCATTATAAATACTTGTGGCTGTCTAGTCACACATTGATATCCTCCTTTGCACGGTTTCAGCAGAGGAAAACTTGGTAGACCCTTTTTGTGTGCTGTTGAGGGCAGTGCGATGTGTAACTGGGAACATTTGTGAGAAGTTTCCTCAATTTATCAGGTGAACGGAACTAATTTGTTGTCGCTGGATATGTCAGCGACAACTGGTAATTCCTACTCTTTAGTCCTTGTATAGACAGCATTGACCGACATTCCCAACAAGGACGACATCTTAAGGGGGTAGCAAAGCCTGCTAGGTACTCAACTTCAGGTGGAGTTTGTGAGATGGGAAATAACAGTCAGCAATAAATAAGTAGCATATATGTGACATGCACGGATGTATCCTATATAAATGGAAGAGGCTTGTCACTTCAAATGATTGCTAGGAAGAGGAGGATGATCAAGGAAGGGCCAGAGTGAGATTGGTCTGAACAATCTGTGGTCTTGGGGTATCGTCTTGAGAAGTGACGGGCAAACGTCTAGAGCAAGATGATAAACTTATTCGGTCTGTAGATTCTTCGTTTTCAGTGATGAGGGCGATAGGGTCAACGGTGATCAAGAGCCACGACTATAAGATCCCCCTGAATCGGTAAGGTCTGGGTGGGTGCAAGACGGACGAAAGAGGACAAAGACAAGGTACCAATCACAAGGTAAGGCTGACAACTTCCGACGTCCCCTCGTTCCCACTCCGGCAAACCCTGAAGTAAGGTACCTTAATTAGGCCGTCTCTTAGTTGCGCCTACTTGCACCTTAAGCAGAACACACCGCAAAGCACGCCTTCCCTATCGCAGATTACCAAAGCTGATGACCCAGGGCGGTCATCGTCGGCAGAACCTACCACTAGACTATCCTGGGCGACGGCCCACTTCTCTTCCGACAGCCAGTCCCAAGCACCCAGGCACGCCAGGCCTCACCCTGGGCAGGCTCAGAGGCAGAGTCTCCACTCTCCACCACTCACGCTGTGACGAAGAGGTGGGCGTGGGCTGGTCTCGTCGCAGCCCAGAGCGTGGTCGTGTCGCTACCATACCTTAGGTACCGTACCGGGCTGGCCTTCTTCAGACCACCAGACGCCTCCATCTGCAGCGCCTCTCACCCAGGCAAAGTAGCCTTTCTTTTCCAACCCACCAGTCTACCAGTGTCTGCCTGATCGCGCCCACAGCTGCTGTGTCCAGGATACAAAGTTGTCTTTTTCATTTTCTTGCTTTCCCGTTCAAGGTGCTATTTGAGCAAAGTACGGCCTCTCTCCTCTTCTCTCTGACTCAGACAAAGGACGCCGTGTTCCTTCCCTTACCCCCCAGAAACCCGTAACGTAAGGCAGCCTCTCCCTCCTTCCAACCCTTGCAACCACCGGCCTTTCCTTTGCCTCCCCGTCCTTCGACGTCGATTTCCAGAAGCGTCCAAGTCCACGCCACGACATAATCCTTTCACCACCGTCTGTTGATTCTTCTTCACCCTACCAACAGCGGCAGGACTAGAGGTTCAAATAATTTCTCTTCATCCCTTCCCTAGGCAATCTTTCTAAACTCGTCGTCCCTCGAAGCAGGTCCCCGCCCTCCGAGCCGAATCGACCACCGAACCAACATTCGCCCCTCCCCCCGCCACGACGGCCACGACGGCCTCACCGATTTCTTTCTGCCGACAGCGCGCTCGACTCGAGAGTTCTAGATCATGTCTGCAGCCAAGATGGCGCCCGTCGTCCAGATGCCGCCGGTCCCAAACCGGGAGGACATTGGAGCCACGTGAGTGGACATCCACATCCTCGCGATGACATTGCTGTTGGTCGAACACCCCGCGCTGACTGAGCACAGATGGAAGTACCTTGAGGCTGGCATTCAGCGCATCATGCTAGACCTTGAGCGTGGTATCGACATGCAGATCGTGAGTTGAACTACCTCAAGCTGCTTTACGTTCCTCGTGCACAGATTAAGAGTGCTAACCACTGCTCGCTACAGTACATGGGAGTCTATACGTACGCGTCGCTGATCAGTCACTACCTACATCGTCTGACTTCATCTCTAGTGCCGTCCACAACTTCTGTACATCTCAAAAGGCTGTCGGATTATCAGTACCCCAGGGAAGCATCGGATCGGGCAATCACAGGGGAGGTGAGCATGGAATTCGCTGCCACTGCTGTGTAGGGTGGTCATACTGACGCCTCGTGACAGCCCACCTTCTCGGAGAGGAGCTGTACAACAAGCTCATCGAGTACCTTAAACAACATCTCGAAGGGCTTGTTCAGCAGTCCAAGACACACACCGACGAAGCCTTGCTCACCTTTTACATCAAAGAATGGAACCGATACACGATTGCCGCCAAGTACATCCATCATCTGTTTCGGTATCTGAACCGACACTGGGTCAAGCGCGAGATGGACGAGGGCAAGAAGAACATCTACGATGTATACACGTTGCACCTGGTCCAGTGGCGTAGGGTCCTTTTCGAACAAGTATCGACCAAGGTTATGGAAGCGGTTCTGAAGCTGGTCGAGAAGCAGCGCAACGGGGAAACCATTGAGTATGGCCAGATAAAGCAAGTTGTCGACTCTTTCGTGTCCCTCGGTCTCGATGACGCCGACCCTACCAAGTCCACCCTCGACGTCTACCGCTTCCACTTCGAGCGCCCGTTCTTAGCTGCGACTAAGGAATACTATCAGAACGAGTCTAAGCAGTTCGTCGCCGAGAACAGCGTCGTTGAATACATGAAGAAGGCGGAGACGCGGCTTGAGGAAGAGGAGGAACGTGTGCGCATGTTCTTACATGCGGACATCATTACCCCTTTGCGCAAGACGTGCAACCAAGCCCTCATCGCCGATCACTCGACACTGCTTCGGGACGAATTCCAAGTCCTCTTGGACAACGACAGAGAGGAGGATATGGCTCGGATGTACAAGCTGCTTTCAAGAATTCCCGAGGGGTTGGATCCCCTCAGGCAGAGATTCGAGACCCACGTCCGCAAGGCGGGCCTGAGTGCCGTGGAGAAGGTGGCGTCCGACGCCGAGAAGCTGGAGCCAAAGGTCTACGTCGATGCGTTGTTGGAGATTCACTCCCAGTACTCGGGCTTGGTGACTCGTGCCTTCGATGGCGAGGCCGAGTTTACGCGGTCCCTCGACAATGCCTGCCGCGAGTTCATCAACAGGAACGAGGTCTGCAAGTCGGGCTCCAATAAGTCGCCAGAGCTCTTGGCCAAGTATACGGATGTGCTGTTGCGCAAGAGCAGCACTGGTATCGAGGAGGGCGAGTTGGAGAACACACTCACCCAGATCATGACCGTCTTCAAGTACATTGAGGACAAGGACGTGTTCCAAAAGTTCTACTCACGCATGCTTGCCCGCCGCTTGGTGCACAGCAACTCGTCATCGGACGATGCGGAAACGAGCATGATCAGCAAACTCAAAGAGGCATGTGGTTTTGAGTACACCAACAAGCTCCAGAGGATGTTCCAGGACATGCAAACGTCCAAGGACCTCAATGTCAGCTTCAAGGAGCATGTCGCCGGTCTTGGCGTCACAAAGAACGCACTCGATTCTCAGTACTCCATCCTCGGTACTGGTTTCTGGCCCCTGACTGCGCCCAACACCAGCTTCACTCCCCCGCCCGAGATCAATGAGGACTGCGAGCGGTTTACCCGATTCTACAAGAACCGCCATGAGGGCCGCAAGCTGACGTGGTTGTGGCAGCTCTGCAAGGGCGAGCTGAAGGCTGGCTACTGCAAAAACAGCAAGACGCCTTACACCTTCCAGGTGTCCGCCTACCAAATGGCCATTCTGCTCATGTTCAACGCGAAGGACAAGAACACTTACGAAGATATTGCGGGCATCACGCTATTGAGCTTCGAGGTCCTTGACCAGGCCTTGGCCATTCTGCTTAAGGCCAAGGTTCTCATCATGTCTCCTGAGGGCAAGCCTGAGGCCGGCAAGAGCTTCCGTCTCAACTATGACTTCAAGAGCAAGAAGATCAGAGTCAACTTGAACCTTGGTGGTGCCAAGGAGGCGAAGCAGGAGGAGGTGGAGACGAACAAGACGATCGAGGAGGACCGCAAGCTTCTGCTGCAGGTATGTTGCTCCATTTTTATGACATTGTTACCACGTCCTAACAAGCCAACAGTCTGCCATCGTGCGTATTATGAAAGCCAGAAAGAAGATGAAGCATACTCAGCTCGTCAGCGAGACCATCAACCAGATCCGGTCGCGCTTCGTGCCAAAGGTTTCGGATATCAAGAAGTGCATAGAGATTCTGCTCGACAAGGAGTACTTGGAGCGACTCGAGGACGACGAGCTTGGGTACCTGGCATGATGGGAAGTGGACCTTGATTTCGGGAGGAGGAAAATACCCCTTGCCTCTCTCGATCGCTCATGTATTACAACACCCTAAAAACTGCATACGCCACCACACCCAGTCTTGCGAGGCATCGATTTGACTTACCCGGGCACATAAGGCGTGTGCGGGTTCTTCGACAACAGGACGGAGGAACAAAGATGAATGGGGTTCATTCTGCTTCGGGATAGGGGCAATCGGCAGGCGGGAAGATTTAGATAGCTGCATGCGGATTCCCTTGATTGTTCAAAAGTATTCACACGGTGATCTTGGTGATGGGCGAGGAGAAGCCGAGCGGTATGGCCACGCTGCGGGTCAACAGCGCAGATCTAGGAGAATTCTCTTAATCAAGAGAAGTCCGTAGACCTTGAATTATCGATCACTGTAACTGCTGCAATGTCGTGCAATAGTGCTCTTTACGATGAGGAATGTTTGTGCATAATGAGAGTGACGTTGATTACAACCGCCAAACTCCGCAACCCGTTAAGATGAGGTGCCTCGTACAGACCAAGCTGCGGTAAGGTACGATTAAAATAGAGAGGCCGAAAGCGTTGGTCAAGCCCCCACAGTATCTAATTATGGATTGAAATGCGGAACTGTACGGATAATAACACTCTATTCTGCTTGTTGACTTTGTTCATTATCCATGTGCGCTACTGAGTAAGTAAACGGTCAACGAGCGCCCCCTCCCCCTGCGTCGTCAACTACTATAAGAGAGTGTGCCACCTAGTAAACAAGGTGTAATAAGTTTTACCTCTGTAATGCGGTTCTCTCGGTTGCGAACATCTACATTTCCAGCGTAGTGATGCGGGAAAGGCGGCTGCGTGTTGCGTTGTCTCACGATATTAGCCACTCTGCCCTCAACATCTATCACATACGACCACACCCACTGGAAAACTCGGGATCCCGTCCGCTCTCCCATAGATAAGCCAGTGAGGGCCGGATTAGTAGTTGGGTCGGTGACGACCAGCGAATACCTGGTGTTGTATGTCTTTTGATCTCGTTTTTGCTTGGTGTTGCACAACCGTGAGGCTCCGCTGTGGGTGGATCTCTTTTGAGGTTTGGAGAGGCGGCTGGGTCTGTTTGTACTCTCGTACCGTGTAAGTTTGACTATGCCGGTTGTCCGTGTCTTCTAAGTGCCATACTCGAGTCAAGAAACACCGAATAGTGTAGCATCGAGCTGTATCTGTACACCTGCCGCAGTATGGATTTGGTTTTTGTTTGGTATTGATCGAATTCCTTGCTCCGGTATATGTGGATACCCATAATTCGAGACTGAAGGAGTGGCTTGGTTGATCTGTAATCTTAAATAGTGTGTGTTTGACTATTTCAGCTGGTCTTTGATCCTCGGTGTGGTATACTCGAGTCCCTCCGCCTCCTCCCATGCCTCTCAAGGGCCAGATACTCCGTAGTACATCTCTATACACACTTTCAAAATAACGCAGAGATTTCTGGGCATATAATAGAAACTTCCTCGTCATACGAATGTTAGTCATACTAGAGTGTGAAAGAACGGAAGAGCGGCATTGAGCTGTCTCCTGGCGTGCTAAACAAGAAATGGTTGAAACTTGATTTGGAATATCCCCTGGAAAGAGCCCGACTCTCTGGCCGCTCGTCTTTTGAAGAAGATTTAGGCTTGAACGAAGGATTCGTAGCACGTGTCTAGCATTTGGACGGCGTTCGTATAGTTTTCTCTAGCCGGATTTTCCTCTGACTTTCGAAGTGGCGAATGTGACTCTCTTTCTTAGTCTTGAGTGTCTTATGCTCAAGTGTGAGAGAACCGATGGGTTGTATGGAGCTGTCCCATTGCTGTACCCATTAAGATGAGGCTGAGGCTTGATTTGGATGTCCTTTGGACAGGAAATGATAAGTAACCCCTTTTTACGAAGCTGAAGATTCGAGTAGATATAGAACCCACTCAGAATATTCCTTTCCATCTATACATGACAGTAAACCTGAAACTCGTGTCCATTGACTCTAAATAGTTTCATCAAGCTTTTCGTCAATCATGGTTATGAAGGGCGATCCTTTCCTTCTGTTTAAGCCCATGCGTGGTTTGGAACACCTCAAAATGGCGACCCACCGGGGGCTTTCTCCCATCACTGGCGATACGTCGCCTTTTACGCCTGGACAATCGTCTTTGTCCGCTGAAGCTCAACAAAATGACGAAATTTTCTTAACAAACGCATTAGCCTAGCAGCCTGGCAGCTTCCCGGGTACTGGGCCATGATAAACAACTATACACTTATTCCCACCGTGGAAGCGTCCCGTGAGCGGACCTATGGGTCATCGTCAGCCAGTTCCAGAGGCATCGATGAGATGGTTCTCAGCGAGACTGAGAAAAATAGCCTACTTTTCCGACCCTTTGGCAACCTTGAGACATTGAAGCTATGGTCTCTTCAGTTCGTGGCACTTCTCCCCTCTGTGTTCGCCTTCGTTATGACGGTGATTCTCTTGGTGGCTAGCCATGACAAGCTGCAACCCACTTGGGGGCGTGTAATGTGACAATTATAACTCCGGTTGAAATATTCACCACGCTCCCGAGGGCCGCAGTGCTAATCGTATTAGCAGAAGGTAGATTTCTTTCTCCCTTCCAAGAAATACATTCTGATGATATTAGTCATGGGATAAGCCAAATGGTCGCGAATAGCGGCGCCGCGGCCGCTACGTCATGTCGAACATTTTGACAACCCTCGCAGAGGTGCGTGGGGGCCATCGAAATTCTTGCTATCCATCTGTAAATCGTATGCCATACTATAACCCGCACCTTAAAGGTATTTGATAACACATACAACACGACCCCGACATACTAGGCCCGCTGGTTATGGTTGCCTCTTATGCCAGCAAGCTGTCAGAACATACTCCTGTAAAGTTCCAGCCGACATTGTTGCTCGTATCTCAATAGCGGAATAAGTTACGGAATTGGACACTCTGACAAGTAGTGCATTTTTACTCCGAAGACGAACACTGCCGCCTCCCGACACATCTCAACTGTTCCAGTGCGATCCTTGTAACTGTGGTTTTGATGCCTTTCCTGGAGTTACTCACGCGACTGCGGGGATTTGCAGTAAGTGCATCATCGATGTGACATCTGGGTTGCAAGAATACCCGCTCGGATGCAAAACTTTTTCCAGATATTCGTGTAGCTACCGCTTCCACAACAGCTCCCAGTTCGCCATTGAGACAACTATACAACCGAATTCGGTCAGTGTGGCAACAACTGACACGACTAATGATGACATTATATCCACGCCTTTCCTAACATTCACACTGGCAGGCTGCGTCTCCCAGCTTAACTTAGAAGCCACGGTAGATTGATATTGCGAACATGACTACGAGAACAGGCCAGAACTCGGCTCAAACCTTGACATTATGGCTGCGAACTGCAGCCCGTATCCCTATCTTCGCCATGACCACGGAGATGCTTAAAATGGTCCTCTTGAAGAGCGTCTGCTCTGAACTAAGCAAATGAATCGGTCGAGTAGAGATTACTTTTCAATGATTCAGCCTTAGTTAATCAACGGCAAATGGTACGACTTGTCGAATATCACCGATGCAACTCGAAATGGCTTATGTTGGACCTCGGGGACTTCAGACAATGACACAGAGGTTCCGCCCAATGTGTTAGATCATTGCACGGTCTGGAGTTCTTTGGCATTAGAGGTGTCCTCGTGCAGAATCTAAGCGAGTTTTGCAGGCTCTCTGATGCCTTTGAAGAGGGATAAGCATCAATAAATCCCGTTTCTGGAGACACCAGCATGCTGGTTGGCGACACAGGCTGATGGGTTGGCGCCCTCTACCATGGAGGAAACGCCACATTTGAGAGTTTTGCAGCGGCTCACGACAACATGCCGATAGCGATTGCGAACTACATGCCTGTTAACGGACTGACTTGGTCAGATAAGTGGTGGATCAGCTATAAGAAAGGAACCTGCATTCAGTCGTCGATTTTCGTAAAGCTTCAAGAGTGGTGGCTCCTTTACCCTGGCGCTCTAGTTGCACTGACATCAGCTCTGTTTGTAACCGCGTATGTGCAAAGTTGCCTAGACAGCGGGAGGCAGCCCGTCTGGAAGTGAGCCATCCTCCTTCTGCTCTCCTGCTGCATATCGAAGAAACACGATGTAGATGAACAAACTAATGGTCCAGACATTGGCTCGTCAGGACCTCTTTTAAATGACGGGAGTCTCTCACCGACAAAACGGTAGTGAGCTTCTGCAGCGGTCGCGAAGGCGCAAGGTTTGTCGTTGAAGAAGGGGTGATCAAAGTCAAATGAGATCCGAGAAGCAAGGGCTTGGGCTTTGGTGGCTAGTGGTGCAGGAGGCATTGGTGCGGGAAGGGATGTGATGTTATAGCAGCTCCACGTCTCCAGGATCCTATGCGCGGAGAGAGAGGAACAGGGAGGCGGTTCCATTGTCAAACCTGGCTATAGCCCCGAGGCCCTATACCGGCTGCCCTTTGTTGTCGTGACTGCCTCCCACTCCGTTGCTTCCAGGCTTGGATCGCCTATCTTCCAGCGTATATATGTAACAATCAGTATCATGTCAATGTATATGGTAGGAAATGTTACGTTTACGTAGGTTTGTTGTAATGACATTATCAAGTACAGTCAGAATATTAGACTTCTGAAAATCTGCTAATTACGTAGTAGCTATTATACTTAGAAGTGTAGTTGAAGTTCTATTGCTTAGCGGGTTGCTGCACTGATAGTGCTGATCAGGCTCTTGGATTGAATTTTTTGGCTTCATCTTATGTCGATCTCTTCAAGCGTCCAGCAAGCAAATGGTGCAGTGTGTGGAACTAAGCTGTATCCTGTTGCGTGAAAGTATATGGAGTTGAGGCTTTTGATGATATTCTGATAGAGCTCCATTCTTAGCCACTTGCGTCTTCTTTTCAAGTGGCGCGGATGGCACTATTGCTTGTTCGTCAATTACTGAGAGGTGCCTCCCAGCAGATTCTTTCCGACTACCGCCCGTAATACCTCGCCGCTGGCATGGATTTGAGCGCTTGATGACTGGCCGATTTCGGCGAGACTTCAGTTTCCCTCAGAAACTTCCGCCTTTGGGCAGTTGAGGATTCGCTTTCCATTGTGTGTCAAGACAATCTGCGACTCGCCCTTTCCGTCCTCAACATGGCGCATGGTGACGCCGACCCCTCTCAAGCCTTCCTCATCCGCCCGCTGGTTCCAGAGCATCTGCTGCACCGCCCCTTCCCTGGAACACGAGATGAAGCCCATGGGCCAGCGGCTTCGTCCCAGAGACTCCCGCACGCCCTTGCTCGCCGGCTTCTCGCTGACCAAGAAGGCAATGACTCCTTCACCACGCCAGCCCACAGGGGCGCCGACGAAAGAACCTTCCAGTTCCCTGACCTGCGAAGGGCCGACGCGTTGGGCACCTGCTTTACACTGAAGAATGACCTTCATATTATCCGTCTGAGAGGGAAGTTTCCAAGTGCCAAGGAGGTCGATGCCTTGGTCGGATACTCCGCCTACCCGGACGGCATGGATGCCGTATTGGGCGAGTGTCGAGGAGACTGTGTACTCATAATGTGTTCCGACGTAGACAGTCGATGCTACGTCGAGTCCTGTTCGATTTGCGTATGCGAGAAAGGATGCAATGTCATGGTGATTTGTTGATGGAGCGGCAGGGTAAAGTAACTCGGGGTGCTTCTCTCGCCGTTGTCTCAAGGATAAACATGTCGACAGGTGAGTCAAGAGTACTGATGAGTTGGTAAGTCGTTTATGGCGGGACAAGAGCCTTGGTAAAGAGCTCTGCAGAGCTTGCATGCTCTTGAGATTTTGAACCCAAGATCAGGGGGTGATTGAAAATTGATATGCAGATTCACATATCGCAAGTGCTGGAGAAGCGTCTCTTCGAGTCGGTCTCTTTAAAGTTGCATTTGAGGTTGGCAGGTAAAGGTACGTATCGCAACAGGCAAGCGATCCTGGGCTGGCCAGTGCGTCCACGCCTAGGTGCATAGCAATTGGCCCGCGAAACAATCTCCCACGACACACATAGCCAGCCCTCCCGGTTGTCTGTCATTGTTCACTTCAATACTGCAACCCACCATATCGCGCAGGGTCACTGCAGTAACGGCGCGATGGGCGACAGACTTACTCAATTGCAAGACGCTGTGGATCAGGTACGCTCGTCCATGTTCTCTGTTTATCGTCCGCGCGCAGAGCAAACGCTGACCTCCGTCTCCAGCTCGCCCAGCAATTCGTCGCGAGCTTCCACTTCGTCCACCGGCGCCATGATCTGGAGCTGCTCGGACCCAATGACAAAATTAGAGAGGTCAAGCAGGATCCGGAACAGAAAGAGGGTAGGTTTCATTGGCATCCTAGACCTGGAAATGAGGGGCACATGCTAAACAAGCTTGCTCGCAGTCGAACCCCTTCCTCCAGACGAGTTCAAGGACGGCCTAGCCGAGCTGTCGCGCGACCTCATTATCAAGGAACAGCAGATCGAGGTCCTCATCTCTAGCCTGCCGGGTTTGGACAGCAGTGAAGCCGACCAGGAGCGCTATATCCAGGAGCTGGAGGACGAGCTTAAGGTCGCAGAGGCGCAGAGGCAGGACGCGATCAGAGAGAAAGACCAGATTCTCGCCAAGCTTGATGAGGTGATCCGAAGTGTTCGACGGCCGTAATACATCACACCGGTCACTGGGACAGCATTGCGTTTGCGGTGTTTTTGGCGTTGAAAAGTGGTTAAACGGGGGGTATTCATGTTTAAGGATATATATATGAATTAGCGATACCCAGTCCAACAAAGAAACGTGTCTCGAAGCCTCTGATTTCCGTCTACATTTGACTCGGTTGCCTCGTCGCCTTCTATTCATTTCCATCCACAGTCGTTCAATCGTCTCTAGTTGTACAAGTCTAAGCATTCTTGGACTTGAAGAATTGGGGAAAGGCGTCTCGCAGCTCCCTGAGGTGACGGATCTGATGCGCGGATGCGGGTGTCTTCGGCACGGGAAGATCCTCCTCGACAAGGTGCGCTACGTTCCAGCCATAGCCCTGGGCCTTTTGGCAGTTCAGATAAGAGTCGTCTTTGGCAGATAGTCAGCATTGGATCTTTTGGGGTTAAGTCAATGATGACATACCGACAAAGTAGCAGTCCTCCATCTTGTCGACACCCGCTTCCCGCATGGCCCTCAGGTACATCTCCTTGGCAGGCTTGCAGACAAGCGGCGCCTGTGCGTAGTCGCAGAAAGTGAGGCCTTCAAAGAGGTCTTCAATACCTAGCAACTTAATCACGCGTTTGGCGTGGTTGACGTAGGCATTGGTCAGGAGCCACATGGTACACTTGCTCTTGTCGATATCCTCGAGTAGCTCGCGCAGCTCGGGGTTCGGACTGAGGATTTCCTCAAGGGGTAGGGCGTCGTCGACCTTTGAGTTGTACTCTAAGGGGTCGATCTGATGGTGTCGGACCAGGCCTTCGATTGCGAGGCCGTAGTTGGTGTAGTACTCCTTATGTAATTTCACAGCGTCGTCCCAGTTGAGGCAGAGGTGCTTTGCGAAATACTCGTCAATCAGCTGCGCCATGTGGTCCTGGACCTTTGAACCTAGGGGGAGTCAGTTTTGACAGTGCCGTACAGATGTCCGCCAGCACTCACTTCTCGGATACAGGCAGTTGTCAATGTCACTTTTCGACTGTTAATTGACGTGATCATTCCTGTTAATGGTTATTAACTTACAAGAACAGAACAGGCTTTGGGGTTGATGCTCCATTTGTCAGGGCTTTGCCGGGCTCCATGGCTGATTTAGTGTTGTGGGCGCCGTCTAGTCTATGAGTGACAACAGGACGTGAAAATGAAAGAGGCCTGGGGTATTCAATGTTTTGTCTTGTTGTGAATGGCCGGGATTTGGGTGAAGACAAGGACCGAGGTCGGGCTGAAGAAGTGAAGCTTCGAGGTATGCCTGGTGGGAGTCTGGCCGGCATGAAGCAAGTAAAACCACTATGGCCTGGATTTTGACAATGGGCTCTTATGTTTCTCGTCCTAAGACTCAATATTGGAAGACCTCGCTGTCGGCTTACAAATGCAGCATGGGGCTTTGCGAGCCTTTCCACGATACTTTGGTAGAAGTATGAAGTGTTGACTCACGCCGAGGAGATGCCCTGCATACCACGTTGTGCTGTTGAGGTAATTGTAGGAAGCTACAGGGAGCTGTTTCCGGGAGACGGGGACCTTAGCGCTGAAAGATTAGTGGTGACTCTGACGAAAATGCTCCGAGGCTGGGGGAGCTGGTGATTTTCTCGCTTAACTACATAAGCCACCCGAGCCTATATCACTCATATGGCCCCACAACAGATTGATATAAGGATTTATCGTTGTAGAAAAAGTTCACAAAGAAACTACTGTTCGTGATCCACGACCCATCTCTTTCCCTCTTTACATCTACCAGAGCAACTCCTTTTCTTCATCTCCCACGGCACTGCAGAAATTCCTGTACTCAGGACTGCCGCGTTTCGGGTATAACCAACAGTGCTGATCTTTACGATATTGGTAGTTCTGTTTGTCTTCTTGTATTCATCTCTTTTCGCTCTCTTGTTTGATCGCAGAGGATTTCCTTGCGCAAATTGCACATCGCCATGGCCCAAGGCCAGCTCGCATCAGTACCGCCATTGGCAAATGGGGCATCGTTGGGTCTTTCAAGAGATGAGCTACACCATATACAGCAGTACGAGAGAATCGTGCAGTTTCGCGATGCCATCCTTGCTGGCTCGCATTCCAAAATCAAGGTGCCAGCCCAGTTGGCAGGTCAAACACCAGCTCATGCCACAGCATCTTCATCAGAGTCCTCTACATCAGCAAAGGAAACGAATGGAAACCCATCTCAGGGTTATCAAGTCGGGAATCTGCAGTCGTTCGCGACCAACACGCAACAAGCGTCTCTTCCTGGTCTAGGAAACCCGCCTCCTGCTAACGCGAACCTACCCGCAAGACCGTTTGTTGGCTCTGGCAAGACGGAGATCAATCCCATTTTTCTCCAAAAGTCTGATGACCTGATCAAGGCCGAGATCCAGCTCCAAAGGCAACGCCTTGAACGGTTACTGCGCGACGAGGTCGATCAACGCCGGGCTTCTATGAAGGCCTCGGCGCAGTCGGAGCCTCTGGCCGACTTCGACCTCTCCGATGTTCTGTCCAAGGCTCTGACTCTGGTCCAAGCTGCTGCTCCTTCATCTGTCAATGCTACGCTAGCTGCTGCTAACATTTCAGCTGCAAGTGACTCTGTTGATGAGAACTCTTACTATTCTTCCCAAATCAATTCGCCAGATTCCTCGCTCCGCAGCTCGCGCGGGGGCAACGACGCCGAAGTTACGGCACAGATACCTAAGCCTTCCACCGCAGGCCAGCCATCCGAAGGCCAGGCGCAAGTACAAGCAAACCAGAAGGCTCAAGCTGGGCTGCAATCCTCACTCTCCTATGCCTCTGTTACTCATCAGCCACAGGGCCAAGCCTCGAATTCCATCCCCTCCCAGTCGCGACCAGTTCCAAGCAGGTCCGACGCCGCGCCCGCATTTTCCCGATATCCGTCGGTAGGAACGACGCGGAGAATGGATAGGGGTGATAATACGGGGGTGTCTACATCAGGAGGTGGGAGCGGAAACACCAGTCGTTCTGAGGAGTCAGGCGTTATGGATCTTGACGGCAGTGCAGATAGATCTGTCCCTGCCGTAGGCCAACAGCTACTTAGGGAGTCCATGCTCGCTCGCCAACCCTCGCCTTTGATACAGGTTCGCGCCCACAACATATCCCCCTTAGCGCCCCAGCCTTCCCATGTCTCGCCTCTTGCAATGGCCAGAGGTCCAGCAGCGGATGCTCAAGACATGATCATCCCTCAAGGAACCACTGCTCAAGTTGCAGCACTACGCAATGAGCCCAACGTTATTTCCAGTCCAGATAGCTCGCCGCAAGGGGGCCGCAGCGGGGAGAAGCGGAAGGGGAAGAAGAAGAAGAACAATGCGAACGGCAAGAGGGCAGCCAGGCAAGCGCCAGACGAGCCTTACATCAAGCCAGAACCGCGTTCGCCGTCTCCCATGAACGCACCGTCTTTCATTCGGCCACAGAAGCGGCAGAGAAGACAAGATGACGAGGAGCCTCGTTATGCTCAGCCCGAACGTCAATTTTCTCGATCCTACAGGGAGGAAGGTGCTATGCCTATGTACGAGACTCAAGAGTACCGTCCACGGCCGGCAAGTCACGCCGCGGCGACTGGCGATTATGGTTACGGAAGAGAATATGTCGATGAGCCCCGCGTTCTGAGCGGCGCCGAGTATGTGCGGCATGTGGCGTCGCCGGGTGTCTATGCAGTTCATGCTGCGCCAAGTGAGGTGTACGCAACATCCCCAGCTAGTGTCGATCGCTATGGTAGAGAACCTGCACGGTACTATCGCGATGGTTACGAAGTAACACGCATGAGCGCTCGTCCCATGACAGATCGTGCGAGGTCTCGCTCGCCCATCATGAGAGAAAGGGCGTCCCCGCTGATGGGACCACCCAAAGCACCGCCCGGAAGGGTTGTGGTAGATCCTGCCACTGGTCGTCGATACTACGAGCCGCAGACTGTCGTTCGCCAGTCTGTTGCCCCGCCACCAATGCGACCCGGCGAATCCGAAATTATATACGAAAGAGCACCCATACGAGCAGAGTCGAGACGCCCAGGACCAAACCCCCGAGATGACGACGTCCTTTATCAGCGGACCTCGCCAGTGTACGCAGCACCTAGGAGAGTCGTTACGCAACCCGATTATGTTTCAGACCCTCAACGTATCTATAGACAACGAGAGTATTCAACAAGGCCAGTGGCACCGCCGGGTGAAGAATTCATTGCTGCCAGAGGTGGCATAGAACAACGGAGGATCATTGAGGAAGCTCCGAGAGAGTATATGATGCGGGCGACAACAGCTCGCCCTGCAGAAACGGTACGATATGAACTTCCGCGAGATTACGGAAGGGTTCAAAGTGTGAGGCCGGAGCAAATTCCCATCCAGGACTATGCCTCGGCGCCCATGCACCCTGACGCCCGCCGGGAGATGATCCAACCAGGACCCCGTTCCTACAGCGTACGGCCTGCCGAGCCTCAGGTGGTACGGCGGGAGTACAGTGCCAGGCCGGTGGAGCAGCAACCATACTACGGACAGCCGGTCCCCGCACGGGGCGAGCCGGAGGTGTCATACATTGAACGGCCTCGGGTAGCTACACACGAAATGTACTACGCCGACGAACCCCCACGCCCAGTCTATCGATGAAGAAAACCCAGCTCCTATTGTTAGAATGGGAGAGACTTTGTAATGCAGTGTCGGAGATTGGCGGATTACTCGTGTTGGAGAATGTTGGGACTAAGCTTTGGGAACTCTTCAAGCGGGGTTAAAAAGTCTTTATTGATGGGACGGGGTTTCGGCAAGAGTACCGGTTAGGGGGATGGTTCTTTATACATTAGCGGTCGTCGACAGCGCTGTTTGTATGCCTCTAATTAGACAATCCAATGTTTTTAATCCAGTTGACGTGCAATCATGGCATCCTCAAAGTGCGACAAGTTGGCAACTCAATTACCAACTCGAGCGCCACGCACCGGTCATCTAGGAAGAGAGTTACGATCAAAGAAGGAAACTATCTAGAAACTCGAGACAGCCTCGCATAGTCTCCGCGACTGGATCCGATCCTGACAAACCTTGTCACTCCTCTCTCTCAGACGAGAATGGACGAGATATACGATTGAGTTTCCTTCTTCAAGGGAAGGATGGTCGGTTGGCCATGAAATTTTGGCCGCGCGCAAGCACAGACTCGACTCTCGGAGCGCCGTCTGTAGATTTCCTCTCTATTCACCGGATCTCTCTTCTGCGGATAATTTGGGACTTCCTTTGGGGTAATTCCCTCTCGCACCCAGACCATTATGTCTGTTCGCTGAGGACACGGTACGGGAGGTACTTCATGAATTGAGAGGAATCGCGAGGGCCGCTCCTTAAACCCGACATTGGGAAGAATGCATCTGTCAAATCACAGAGAGGAGGTAGATTTCGGATCCGACGGATAGTCTGTTTACCTTTTTTTTTTTTTTTTTTTTGGTGGCATAGAGGATGTCAAAGAGTACGAAGAAGAAAACCGTTATGTAGAAGTTGCTGTGTTTCTGTCCATTATTATGAAGTCATTGCGAACCTCTGCGTGGGCTCCTGTCGGGTTTCCCGCCTCAAGTTCGTGTTATGTGTGGGTGGGGGGTTCTGACTGGAAACACAAACGAAGATCTGTATCCGCAGAAGGAACATGAATTGATGACTCTGCACGGAAAAGCAATGCCTCTTTCCAAAAGACGAAAAAGTCAACCGAAGCATGGAGAGTGGATTCGTATCATGCGGGACTGAGGCATATTCCCTTTCGCGCCAGAGTTGGTTTGGCCAAAGATCTTCCAGCGAGCGGATCGCACAAAGTCTAATTTTTTTTTTGGCCATGCATTCTTCTCGCAAAGCGCCCTGGGACGGACAGGAGATAAACCCCAAGGAGGTTGTTACTGAGTAGCTGCCCTAATATCAGTGGTGTCGGACGCATCCAACGGGCTGCAGGGGTTAAGAAGGGGAAAGGAAACATCACACATGGGAGGGGCCAACACTACCGATGCGTCTTCCGGCGGGTCCGGCACACGAACGTGTTGTAGGTGTTAGCCCTTGCATCAGAGTACCTACTGCTGCTCTCACTCCATCCAAAGGAAATTGTTTGCATCCGTAGGCCAGCTCGCCTCGTCCAGAGAAGGTTTGCCAGTCAGGTTTGGCTCCAAGGAGGCACCCAGGGGAACGGGGATGGCTCGTCGTTGTATTTATTTTTCTTGGTCCGAGTGCCGTTGTGCGGAGGACAGGTTCGAAGTTGAAACGTTCATTCCAGGATCATCGATCGATATCCCCCTCCCCAGACTAGACGGCGAGAACGGCGGCTAGTTTGGTAGTTTGACCAAGGCCGGGTTCGCGTTGCATGGCGGCGTTGAAAGGGTCCAGTCAGACCGACCTCGCATCAAATCGGTCAGGTGCTTTTCCGGTACTTATGTTGGGCGGCAGCACCTCAGGAACCAACGCACATTTGAGCGGGCGTTATAACCAGTCTTCTGCGAGTCTATTCGCCAGGGGGCAGGGCGCGCGGCCACCGTTTTTTTTCACGGGTTGCAGATCAAGCAACCACACTCGTGCCAGCGCCTGCTCTTGTTTCCAGGCGACGGCACACTTGAAGGCATATTCCCTGTCTCGGGAACATGATCGAGGGGAAAGCGTCTACGTAGTAAGACAGGACCAGCCTTTCTGTGTGGCCTGAGAGAGAAGCCCCAACTTGTCGTGCTGGTGTTTGCCTGGCTTTTGCCATTTGCCCTTATCAAGTCATCCCGCTGTACAAGGCATGCGAGATTATGTGCACTTGCGGTACGCCAATTTGAAAAATCATCATCGGCCGGCGACGGAAGAGAACGAGAGTGAAGACACTGGCAAATGCCGTGGCTAGGACAGCCCGGTGTAGTGCCGACGCGCCGATGTAGCCCTATCACCGAGCCAAAGTGTTGGAGCAGACTGACGACTACTTTGGTGACTGGCTAGACGACGGTCGTGGTCCGTGGATGAATGGCGCGGTGGGATTCGGGAAGCTTTCGCTCGAGGCTCGAGCTCCTTGCGCCACGCCTACTATTTGAGACGCAAAGCGGAAGGAATTGGTCATTGGGTTCAGGGATGTTGGCTGACATCAGGGCAAAATGCGAAAGTTCAGTTGAAGCTCCAACACGTCGGGGAGTGACCATTTGGGAAGTTGCGGTGTTCGTTTGGTGAGCCCGGCCGATTTTCCTTTCCAAATGGGACAAGCCGCAAGGAAGGGATTGCATCCTTGTGCAAAAGCAGTACTCGGTACCATATTCGTCGGGCCCTGAGTCGGTGGGATGCTTCAGTAAACTGTATACTGCACTATCTCGAAGTTGGACCTTGTTGTCATGTCGCAGAAATGCTAGTATTGTGGATAGACCGACGGTGGTAAGGACGTCGTCCAAGTCGGCGCTGATAATGCGATAGGTGGCTCATGGTAACCCGTTTTTGTCGGTGAACAGTCGATGATAACTGGAATGCTGCCAAGCGGGATATTAGAAACTGAGGAGACTAGGCCTCTTTGTCAGCTTCACTTCAGACCGCATCACGTTATGCAAGATTCGCCCTCGGGTCCCATATGATGCGGAGGAAAAGTTGACCACACAGATATCATGACGACGATGACAAGCCAATTAAAACGAGCAACGTCCATAACAACTTGCGCCAGCTCGGCGATGATTCGACTCGTATCCTCCCGTGCACTGCGATGATACTTCCCTCCTCAAGTATTGTCGTCTCGTTCTTGGCTCCCGGTATGCATAATAAACGGAGAGAAATGGACTGGGTTGACAAAGACCTAGTAGTAGCGGCAGTGTGTTGATGGGGGCGTCTCCATGGCACATCCCGCAACGACGCGCAGAGGATGACGGGGCAGGCGGCAGGATCGATCCATGTCGGCTGTCAGTCGCGTGCCCAGCGCTAGGAATTCAGGATCAAGTCCCTAGCGAAACGAGGGAGGCGTGGGAGGGTCTCATCAGCCGTGTGCAGCGGGCAGTGCAACGCGTTGGTGAACGGCGACTGGCAAAGAACGTAAAAGTGTGACTTTGGTAATGAGGTGGGGCATTTGCTTGATCCCAACCAGCCAGACGGAAACCCTGGTCTGTGGTCGAGCTTTTGCTGGAGCTGGTAGGTAAGGTATTTATCTCTGAGGGTCTCTGACCTCAAGGTAGGAAAGAAAACTGACCTGCCTCAATGGGAGCTGAAAAGAGACGCCTGGCCGTCCAATCTTGCTTGCCTTGTTGGCCACATATGGTATTATCACATCTGTCCGGACGAGGAGGAGTACAGGAAGTCTTCGTTTGGCAACATTGCTGGGAGGCTTGCTCAGCAGCATCTGATAGCCCGATGTTGGTCTGGGCTTAACAAGTTTACTGTAGTTAGTGCAGGTCGAAGTGGTGGTCAGTGCTGGAGCTGGACGAAGGGCTTTGGTGTTTGGGATGGAGGAAGGTAGTTGAGAGTGCCTTCCCGCTCACCACCCAGCAGCATGTACTTCGGAGTACCTTCACGGCGGCCGGGCTTCCGAGTACCCGCGGGCCCGTTACGTTTCCCGAGTCCCTTGGGGCGACGTGGGAGGAGCGCACACTTCAGCTTTGGCGTTCCTCACTAAGCAGCAACATGCCAGGTCGCCGTGATGCTCCTTTTGGTTCTGCTGATCTGTTGCTCTGATCTGTTGCTCTCCTCATATGCAATTGACTGCCAAAATAACTTGCCTGGCTGCAGCCTGCAGGTGGCGGCTTCGGAATCCTTCTTGTCACCGAGCGGTTCATGTAATACGTCAGTTGGAGAATCCCCCCTGAGGCTGTGCTTGGGGATGGGGAGATTGCAATATTGGCTGCATCCTCACTACTTGTTCTCTGCACATACGTGAGCTTATTTGCTTCCAGGGCAAAGGTTAGGTACTTGGACAAGGTTGAGGAATCTAGGAATCTCACCTGAAAGTCAGGTAGACAGTTTGGATAGACAACCGGACACCGGATATGGCTTACCGGACACACACCCAAAGAGGCGGCAAAGCTGGACACAGCCCTATTGCTCGTACTTGTCTTTGTGGATTAGTTCCGGGGCCCTGGTCCCTTGCAACTGGTCGTCCTGCACTTTGTCTGAGCATCGGAGTCGTTTGGTTACTCGTCACGGCCGTTTACGGTTTATTGCTCTACTAGGTTCTTGTTGAGAATGGTATGCTTAGTCTGCCGTCGTTGTGTTGCGTTGCGGAACGGTAAATCCGCAGCCGGGAACTCCCTTTCGTTCGTATTGAGAAGGTCTGCGCGACCCTGAAATGTCTCTGATATGCGCTTCTGGATTGGTACTCGACCCGCGGCATGCAGACCTCTTGCGCATGTTGCGCTTTCCACCATCGACCATTCAACGCTCCGATACTTTGCCGGCAACGCACATGCCTGGCGAGCTAAGACAGCGGAGGACGGAGGACGGAGGTAATAGGTAAGCCGGTTCGCACCTTGGCATGCCTAATTCCCCAAAGCTCGGCGCATCCGCGAGTCCAGCAAAGATGTCCCCCATGATCAGTAGTCAGTCATGTGATTTTACAGATTTGCCGTGCTGGAACGCTTTATGGTAATATATGAGATTGGATTTCGATTGGACGCAGCGAAACGCCTACTATACGGACCGAGCAAGCGGCTGTCTTC